AGAAGTTTCTTAATACTTCTGTGAGTGTGAGAAATCAGTGCTATCCAGAATGGATATGGGACAGATGCTTCGTTATGAGTTTTTGTTTTTTGTTTGGTGGAGTAAGTGAAACAATATTTTGTTTTAAGTCAGTAGTTATTATAATTCAGTTTTAGTAGGCTGTTATCCTACATGTGGTGTGAGATTTTGGAAACGATTTATTCTACAAAAAGCAATTGGCAATGTAATTAAGTGTGCAATAACTTTGATCCTTGAACTTTGAGTCATTGAACTTTGGGTCCTTCATGAATTATCTCGGTCATCTATCTGTGTCTGGCGTCCCTGTTCCCTCTTTCTTTTTTTAATCAAAATGTAATTGATTTTACGGTAAAACTTGATGTTCCTCTGAAAAATAGGGCTATTAGAGAAATTGAGGTAAGTACTAATATCAAGTTGTTTAGGTTTACATGTAGCATAGTCATCTTGACTGAAAAAATTATATATAAGAAGTGCCTCTTGGCTTAAACTAAGGGTCCAGTATAGCCCAGAATTTTTTCTCACAGTGGCCAGCCAAATACCTATAGGAAGTGGGCACAACAGCATCCTCTGACTTTTGTTCCCCAGTATGGTTTTCCAGAGCCATAATGTTTCTGATAGCAAAAGAAATGCATGGCTTAATACTGATGTATCTTAAGTGAAAATAAGGGGGAAAATATTAGCTTCAGTTTTGTGGATCTCAGAATAATAGTGCGCTTTTTACTTCATTCCTGCAGTGAGGTTTTCCTTTTGTCATAGCATAAAATGCTTCATTGTGTATGTGATACCTGACAGGAGACATCTGAAAGTACTTCTATTTGAAAGTATTTCTATAGACACTAATACTGGGTATCTCAGCTTCTTGCAATCGTGCTGTTAGATGCCCCAAGATAATTGTCCTTGCTGCTATTTTACTTCCATATAACTTTTTGGGGCTTGGTCATTTTGACTAGAAACCTAGTGACCGTTAGCAGAATGTAACTGCCGGTAATAGCTCTGGCAGATCTCTCTTGTGCAGGTGGAGATAATGGAGTTCATCTGTCACCCCAGAAGCAGGTTTTCTGCTTGCCCAGAGGAGATACCGAATACTTCCTTGTGCAAGCTCCATAGTTGTCCTGCTATTCACATCACAGGCCATTGCGTGGGTAGAATGACTGGTGAAGATTCTACCTGGAAGTTGGGTGGGCAGGGTATCATTTGTGGTGGCTACTTCCATCGGTATCTCTTATATTTTGTATGCAGCTGCGAGCTGCATTCTAAGAAAATGCAGCTAATGTGTGTTTCCTGTGTCCAAGGTTGAAGGACCATACATGTTTGACCCTGCCCTGAAGGAACAGGTATGCAGTTTGGGGATGTCGCTAGTTACCTCCACCTCAATTTTCAGTGGTATATTGGCTGTGCCTGTATGTGGATTGAGGTAGTTTCACTGCAGTGACCTTTGTGCCAATAAGCTCCAGACCCGATGACTTTCTGTCTATATGAAGCTGCCATCCAGGTTGGCTCAGATGCAGCAGGTGGCACAGATTGTTGTATTGAGATTGCTGAGGGGAGTGACTTGCTCAACACATATAGCACATCCTTGAAAGAACTGTCTTGGCTGCCATTTTATTAGTAAGCCCAGTTGGGAAGGCAAAGTCCTAGTCCGCTGAGGACCAGCTTAGTAAAGGTTGTCTTGCCTTGTAGAGACTCGTCCAACCACCGTGCTCTTCAGGGGAGTCCCTTTTGAGGTCCTGCTGACTTGCTTCTAACAACAGCATGACAGTGAGGCATCTCTGGTGAAATCCACCTGCTAAAATGATAAACTCTTGTTCTATGCAACATGTGCTTTAAGCAACCATGAAAACCTTATGTGTTTGCTTTGGTGTTTCTCAGCTGTGAATTGATACAAGTTATTTGAAACTTTGTTTTGCAAAACCTAGAAATCTATAATATGCTTGTTTATAATTGTTTGGAATGTGTGGTTTAGATGGGTTTGGGATCTTTTAATTAAATGGGACATTTATATTTTAAATAAAAGTTTCTTTGTCCAGTCCTGAGGAAATAGGATTTGGTGGTTGTAAGAAAGTTTGTCCTTCCCCTCGGCGGGAAATAATAAAGGCTGAGTCTTGATAACTTTAACAGCAGAAACTTTATTCTCTCCTACATCCTCCAGCACACTCTTGAAAGGTTCCAACAGTTTCAAACTTGGCAACAAGCCTGTATCAACATTGTCCAAACTTTGATTAAAGTCCCAAGGGGTTAACGGCGTTGGTCCCCATAAGGTCCCTTGAACTCCGGTGGAGGGGGTGGGAGGCTCCTCATCACACAAATTGTCCCACAACATTTGTGCCTAATCCACCCCCTCTCGTCAGGACCCTCGTCAAACGAAGCTGTCATCCGCTCCCGCTACAGTTCGATTTCCCTCGGCGCCACGATTACATTCCATTCCCTCACGGCAATATGCGGAGAAGTCCCTCTAGAAATCGGAGGATCGGGCAAAAGGCCGCCCACTTTTAGATGGGGAAACTCTGATAAGCCCCTGGGTGCGAACCCTTTCAAATGCCCTCCGTCTTTCCTCCCGCTTCTTCTTCTCGTACTCCTCCACCACAGTACTAAACCACACACCCCCTCCTTATCTTTATATTCCTCTCCAACTGTCACTTCTGACTCCTCCCACTCCCCTTCAGCCAAGCATACCTCCAACCTCCCCTTCCCTTTCTGTCAAGTCCTTTCCCTTTTCTTCTCCACTTTCACCGCTAGCCAGTTGATCCTTTTCTCCATCACTGTTTTTCACTCTCACTTCTGCGGACGGCACACTTCTATTTTCTACACCTTCACAGTGGTAAAAGAAAACCCTCTCCCGTGAATTTTTCAATCTTCTCCCTCATACCTTCTTATAGAATTATAGAACTGGAAGGGAATCCAAGCATCATCCACTCCCTGATGAAGGAGAAATCTACAGAAAAACTTCCTTCAGATGGCTATCGATATTTCAGTAAAAACGTAGTAAAAATGAAGGAAAGTCCACCACCTTCTAAAGCTGCCCATTCCCTTATCAAATAGCTCTTGCTGTTAGGAGGTTCTAACTGTTCAGTTTATTTATTATCTAAAATATTGATATCCTACCTTTCTCTTCATAAAAATCCAATGCGGCCTACAATAAAATATTACAATATTTAAAAAGAGTTAAACAGATGCCAAATTAAAAACCAATGGATCAAAAAAGTTTAAACCCATTTTTAAAAACACATTACAGCCCCATTTATATTCAGGTAATACGTTCTTTTAATTTGTATCTCTTGATTTGGGTCCTGCCCTCTAGAGTTGCAGGAAACAAGCTTGCTCGATCATCCACATGATAGCCCAGATATATTTAAATGGCTTTCATGTCACCTCTCAGGTTCATCTTTTCTAGGCAACACACACCCAGTTCTCTCAAGCTTTCATCATAAGATTTGATTTACATGTGTATGGAAAAGACTACATGAAAGAGAATGTTACAAAAGCAACCTGCTTCTTTAAGTCAGACTACAGTGGTGCCTCGCATAGCGAGGTTAATCTGTTCCTGATTAACCTTCGCTATAGCGAAACATCGCTGAACAGGGCAGGAAAAGCCATTGGAACACATTAAACAGTGTTTAATGCGTTCCAATCGGCGCCTTTACTCACCGTTCAGCGATGTTCCGGGATGGCCGGCAGCCATTTTCGCGCCCTCCCCTCGCTTAACGAGGGCGCGAAAACACTGCGCGCGGCCATTTTGGGCCATTTCGGGGCTTCCGGCGGCCATTTTGGGCCATTTCGGGGCTTCCGGCGGCCATTTTGACCGCCAAACAGCTGGTCGTCAGGGCCTTGGTTTGCGAAGATCGGTAAGCGAAACACTTACCGATCTTCGCAAAGCGAGTTTCACCCTATCTAAAAGTCGTTGAGCAATCGCATTAGCAATCCCAAAAAAGGGATAGCTATGCGATTTCGTCGTTGTACGGTGCGCTCGTTAAGCGAGGCACCACTGTATTAAGTTCAACAGCTGTAGTGAAGTGTGTCCTCTCCATAATCAGTGCCATTTACCAGTTAACTGCACATTGAATTTTACAAAGCCGTAGTGTAGTTTTGAATGTTCTTTAAAATTGATGAGGCAGGTTTATCTGAAAACACATGTAGTTCTTTTGCAGCTGAGTTCTATTTGTTTTCCGCATTTGTTAATATATTAAATAACATAGTTTTGCCTTTGCTGTGTCATTGTCATAGGTTGTACAAAGCAACCCATCACATATTTACCAACAAGTAAGTTTACTGGATAAAAATGAAATTGAATGTCTAGTCAGTGTGTCTGGGGTTAAATTATACATAATTTTTTGTATCATGGCTTAATTTTCTTTGCTGTCTTGTTAGTCATGTTCTTCGAATCCTTATATAAACTAATAAAATTTACAGTATTTGAAGACTTGCTGTAGTTGGTGTTGAGTTGACTATAAAATCCTAGTACATAAACATGATATTCTGTTTAAAAATTAAGCATTCATCAGAGTGATAAGAGTTTGTTCACTAAAAGGAGTAGTTATTTGAAAATAAATCAGTAGGAGGCCAGAATCCTATTGGGTTTGTGTAGCATAAACCCAAGATTGTGTTTAACTAGTTGTACAACTGTTTGGGCTGTCTCTTTCACACACTCAGACATACCCATATCATGCACTCAGTTGCACACTTGTTTGCTTGCCTGAATTTATAACAGATGATCAGAAAATTGTAAAACCTGTTTGTACACTGTGTACAATATTTCCCAATAGGATTCTATCTAATGCCTTTTTCTGACAATTCCCATACCAGCAGTAGAGCCACATTAGAAAGTAGTTTGAAAGATGAATATAATCTAATTTTTGTGTGTTTGACTTTCAGCTTTGTGGTGTTCTTGGAAAGTTTTGCACCCCTTGTGAATTCTGTGAACCTTGGCATTGCCAGCCCATTTCTGTTGGGCCCTCCTCCTTTACAGCTTGCTCAGATTAAGACCGTGTTGGCTCTTCATCAGTTGAACTCAGTTGCTTCGAACAGTTCTATAGCATCTTATGCTTTGTTAAATGAGGCATTCCTGAAAATTGCCATGTTTAATCCTAGAGGAAACATGCATCCAAGAACAAGGGGACCTAATGTGCATGGTCCAGTCTCACATGGGCCTTTTCAGAGGCCTGGGCCTGGGCCTGGACCTAGATGTGGACCGGGTGCTCTTCCAAGACAGCCCCCACCTGGTCCTACTCACAGAATGCCCCAGAGATTCATGGGACCGGAAATGAGGCCAGGATTTCCAAGGTCAGATGTTCAGATCTCACAACACAGAATGGATCCAAGACAAGCAGGAGAGAGAATGAATATGGAAAGGCAGCAGAAGGAAGAAGGATGTGGCACCCATTGGGATAATTCATTTTCGCATGGAGGCAGTAGCCAGAATCAGCCTAATTCTGGAAGGATGGCAGAACATACCCCACCTGTTCAGAGCCGTTATACGAGTGAGAGTGCCTCAAGTATCCTAGCAAGCTTTGGACTGTCTAATGAAGACCTGGAGGAACTCAGCCGCTATCCAGATGACCAGCTAACTCCTGAAAACATGCCTTTGATTTTAAGGGACATCCGAATGCGCAAAGTGGCTCATCAATTGCCTAGCTTGCCTTCTCAGAGCAGAGAGAAGGAAGCCTTTTGCAGCAATGATGGCCGTGGTTCCATGGTCAAAAGCAAGGTAATTGATTATGGGCATGAAAGCAAGTATGTATATACTGACAGTCCCCTTGAAGTAAAAATCTTTGATTCAGATGTGCCAGATGAAGGGAGCACGAAAGGATTTCAAGCCCAGCAGACTGCTTCTGTGTCTGCTGCACCCTCCACTGTGACCAGTAAACAGATGAATGCTGTTGAAGAACTCATAAGGCAGATGGGGTTCCAGAGAAGCACACCAAGTACTCCGTCTTTCCCCCCCATGGATACTTCCAACAAGGGGCCTGGACTGTCCCTTCCATCAGCTGGAGCACCTCCAACCGCCCCACCCATGATTTCACCTGTAGTACCACCCATACCTCCGCCCTCTATACCACCTGCTGTCCAGCAAGCTTTGCCTCCATCGTCCCCTGCTCCACCCGTAATGCCAGCTATGAACCAGCTACCACCACCTTTTAGACCTGAAATACTTGGGGATGTAAATAGGAGTGAAAGGATTCATCATGAATCCAGGGCTCGTCCTCCTGGCACCCAACCTGAGCATACCAGTGGTCAGAAAAAATATCAGAAAGAAGCTGAGAATCCAATTGAATCTCCTTTCGGTGTCGTGAAAGCCTCTTGGCTTCCAGTTTTTTCACAGGCGGATGCCCAGAAGATGAAGAGGTTTCCGACTCCATCTATGATGAATGATTATTACGCCGCATCTCCAAGGATACTTCCACATATGTGTTCTCTTTGTAATGTAGAATGTAGACATATGAAGGTGAGTCAGTTTTTTCCTAAGAGATTGCATACACGTACACCATGTTCTGCGCAGTGGGGCTTAATTGACCTATGGATTATGGTAGATGTTATTTCCGTAAAATAGCATTTAAAAAGATTGGAAATAAATGCTTTGTCTGATTTGGACACTGCGCTTCAGTTCTGTCTGACTGTCCTCAACAGTTATAACGCTAGTGACAGTTAATTATTTAGGGTTCGTAGCAACTATTTGATTCCCATCTGAGTCAAAGGAAATAGAAAAATTAAGGACTGGTCGATACCAAGAGTTTTTACCAAACTCGTGGAGGCAGTGGAAGACAGGAGGGCCTGGCGTGCTCTGGTCCATGGGGTCACGAAGAGTCGGACATGACTCAACGACTAAACAACAACTCTACCAAGAGAACAGTCCCTTAACTTCCTTTATGCAAATAGAACTGGCTTACAGCTGTACTGACATCAACAACTGTGATGTTCTGAAACTGGGGGACCTCATATTAGCTGACTCAGCAGTGCCCTTGAAATACTGAAGTAAGGGGTGTGTGCACGTGTGTGTGTGTGTGTGTGTGTGTGGCCAAATCTGTTCTCTCCCCCCCTCCAATGCTGTGGTATGGAAATACCACCAGTTAAACATCAGAAGAAGGGTTGGCTTTTTGTCTGTGAAAATGAACATTGGCCCTTCCCTTGGCAAAGCAGGTACGACAGCGACTGTTCAAATCAGAAATGAATCCTTAAAAGGGTGGTGTAGATAGCTGAGTAAAGCCTTCAACGACTAATCAACTACAGATCTTTTGTGTTTTCCTTCACCTCCCATTAGCCCTAGACTATGTAGCCAGGGGTGAGGAATGTTAGTAATTAGAGTACAAAGCATTTAAAGAGCAGAATGTTCAGGAATTTTCCTAGAACACATGACTTCTAGATTTTCATAGAAATCTTTTTTATTTTCCTCTGGGTTCCTAGTATGCACTAGCTTCTAGAGGGGATAGAAGTCGTTAGACGTTGTAGATAGACATGGTGTTGAAGTTCAAATCCAGCAAGGCACATTATTAGAATGAAGAAAGTATTTTATACTATTAGAGAATGCAACTAGGAGTAAATATTGCTTAGATTTTACTAGTTGAACCATAGCAGTTACTTTGAATTTCTCTACTTTTAAGTCAAAATTTGAAAGCTTTGTGTGATTACAAGTTTTGTAAGTTACATTAGACCAGTCGTACAATGAATTCCCGATCTTCGTGTGCACAGTGGATGGATGAGCTGTTCACCTGATGAGAGACAGATTCGCAGTAGACTAAAATGACTGTGTTGGATGTACAGTATATTTGACACACACAGTTCCAATGGAAATGAGGATATCTTAAATTTTTCAGGATTTCTCTTTTCATCTTAGTTTCAGCTGGATCTGTACAGTATTTGACTAATTTGTTCTGGATCCAGACCTGGGATGTAATACAATAATGAGATGGTCACTGATCCTATATATAATAAAGATATACATGTTTGATTGCCCGGTTACCTAACAGGAAGGGAAAACAAATTTTAGAACAACATGTCCATCATTTACAGATGTAGCATTCTGACCATGAATTTGGGGGTGGGGGCAAGATCATAGCAACATAACTAATCAGTAGTATTGCCAGAAATTTAGGGGCAAACTAAGATTTGCAATACTGATTTTGATTTCTTTTCCCAGCTTCGTTCTGCATTTTTGTCTCAAGTATTTCACAGATTGATCTGATGGGTATTATCACAGAACTGTGCATTTGTTTTATCTCTTTACACAAACACACGTACATATGTACGTATCTCATGAATCAAGCATGGATTGCCTTCTGTCCTCATTAACTGTTTGCAGCAGCCAGAAGGCCTAACATATTGTGTCGTGTTTAATAATTTCAAACACTAAACTGATCTGAAGGTATTTTGCATGGCTGCAAGGAAGGAAGTTCCACTGAGTTCATTGTGGTGTTCTCAGCACCTTGAAGGAGCATTTAGTTGTCCAACTTTTTTTTTGCACTATACTTTACCTCAGCCACGTCTGGGTTTCTGTTCATGCAGCATCAGTGCTTAAGGCTCAGTTTAAATGAATTATGTATATAGAGCTTGTTCACCTACATGAAACTATAATACATGTTTTTCTTTTTGCCACTGTTGCTGTCTACATTCTGTACATATATCGAAAGAGAAAGCAGCCCTTGCTTGTTATCCCACATTTTATGAAGGGAACGAAGTGTGGTGAAGGGGAGAGAAAAGTGAGGCTTGGAAGGGTGCTCCTTTTCTGGCCTTGTTGTTCTTCCTCAGAATGACGGGTTATGGTTTCCCAGTAGCCCTTCCTCTCGTCCTGGATGAATGCAGTGAAGGCCTGGTGAAGGGGACAGCGCTGTCTTGCAATTACTGTGAAAAATGCTTGGCCTTTGATAATAGCTAGGAAAGGGAATTAATTCCATGGTTTGAAAACAAAGGAATGGTTATCCCGGTACCTCTACCATGAGACTGTGGTATCTCACAAGGTACTATGGGTAAGATACAGTACTTTGATCATAAGGCCCATGGACAAAATAGAGGTGTATATTATTTGGAGCTTGCTAGGATGTCGGCGAACCAGTATACATGGTTCCTCAGCCTAAAATACTTGTGCAGCATTTCTCGTCTTAAGTGTGCATTTATATGGAGTAGTGTTTATTAGAAATAAGTGTTAATATCTTTGTAACTGAGGTTTTTAAGACTTTGGGCTCATGTAACAGCATGTTCCTTAACATTATCCACCCACTCCCTATTCCCCCTAAAACATCTTTGCTATTTGTAACCTGAATAGGGCCAGTGGAAATGGAGTCTTGTATATGTATAGCAATTCTGATCAGTTTCAGTCAGCGCAGAACAGCAATACTGTTTATGTTTAGACTTGAGATAACTTTAAATGGGTTTACCCTGAACTGGGTTTGGTCATAAGGATAAAATGAATTTAAATCTTTTCCTCATGAATTTTGAACATCCTGACTCATATTATTGTAGTTTTGAGAATAAGGGGAGGTCTAGGGAAGACCATATATACTTACTTGAGCTTCTGGGATAGAAAGTGGGATATAAATATATTATAATACTTTTTTCCTATGATTTGTGGCTGCGTTTTCTTCCTGTAGGATTGGATTGAGCATCAGAACACTACCACTCATCTAGAGAGCTGTCGACAGCTGTGCCAACAGTAAGGGCTGTCACTTAATTTGTGTGCATCATACATTGATGGTGTGATTGTCAAATTTTGTGAATATAATTACTTTAATGTTAAATACATTCAATCATAGCATTGGGATGTGGGTTGCTATGGGGATAATTGCATACAGTTTAATCTAAAAGTTAAAGCTAAAGCAGCCTATCCCATCATGTGGCTATTTGCTTGCCTGGCTGTGGATTATGGAGATTGTAGTCCAGCTCATCTGGAAGGCGACCAAGGAGGAGAAGGTTGCTCTATATACAAGCTTATAAATGTGTTCCACCACTTCTGTGGAATAAAATTGTCACTGTGTTTATTTAAGGGAAGTATCTTTGTGAGTCAGACGAAAACTGTATGCCTAGAACACAAGAATAGTTCTGTTGGATCAGGCAAAAGGCCTCTTTATTGCAGCCTTCTCTTCAAATGGGAATTCCAGCTAGAGCAAATGAACTCTGCCCAGACTGTTTGCTGGAGCTTTTTATGTGGGTGTTTTAAAGCTCCATTGCTTCATTTTTGTCACTGGCTGTCAGTAGGTTTCTGAGAATGGGTCATAATTGATTCATAAAGGCCTCTATGCCTTGAATCCATGCCTGATGAAGAAGTGTATTCTCCCATATGAGCCTGCCTCGCTGTGAGACCTTTGGGGAGATTCCTCTGACCTCTTAGGCAGGTTTGATGGAGATGCTGGAAAGCACATTTTTGGGAGCTGCTCCCAGTCTTTGCAGCTCCCTTCCAGGGGAGACTAGCTTGGCCTTCTCCCTATTGTCCTGCAGCAAGAAAAAACGTGCTCATTCAGATGGACAGAGGCAGGGACATACACCAAATGAATACAAACAAACAAAAAAATTTCTACAGAAACAATATTCAATATGACAAGTATTAGAGTATGTAATATCCATGTAGTGATGTTACTGGTTAGCTTCTTCGAATAACATTTTTATCTTTGAAACAGATACCCTGACTGGAATCCAGAATCCCATTGTGCTGCAGAAAGGTAACTTTCCAGATATGATTGCCTTCTAACTGGGCATCTTAGGGTTCTTTTTTGTGGTACCATATATGACTTTTGGGGCTCCCAAAACATGCCTCCAAGTGGGGGGCCCGTCTTGTACTCCGGGTGCCAGGAAGGAGCCGCTGCTGCTGAGTGAGTGATGCGGGGCCATGCTGGCCGGGGAGGAACGCAGGCGGGCTGGCAGCAGATCGAGGGAGGGAAGCGGCACGCTCGCCCGCCACCCCCCTGCTTTCCCTCTTCCTCCTCCTCCTCCTGCCGCCGGGGAGGAACGCAGGCGGGCAGGCAGGCAGATGGAGGGAGGGAAGCGACGTGCACTCGCTCACCTGCCAGCCCCCCGCTTTCCCTCTTCTTCCTCCTCCTCCTGCCGCCGCCCCCCAGCCTCTTCCCGGCGCCGCATTTTGGGGGGGTCGTCTAATATGGCCGGTCGCCTAGTACAGCAGCATATACGGTATTTGAAGATATTTGGGTATACTTATGTGATGGAGGAAATAATTTAAACCTGAGAATTTTAGTTGCTGCCCTGTAGGTTTCTTCTCATGGATGCACACTTTAACATGATGAGGGGTTGAGTGTGTGAGAAAAGCTGAGCGCAAGGCCATCAGGTGGCTAGACTCCCATTACAAGCCTGAACTTCTAGCAGGGTCACCCAATATGGAATGGTCAAAGCTGAGAATAGCGGTTGCATCAGTAGACAAAGTTGTGTAGTTCCAGGGGGGATGTTAGGATGGAGATGGAGAAATTCCCGAAGGGCAGCTGCTGGGCACCAGTGCTGGTTGAAGATGAGACAAGTGAAGGATCTTTCACAGACAACAGCAGTGATACACAAGCTAACTTTTCTCAATACTGCACAAAAGAGGGCAACAGTAAACAACTTCTGGGCATTTCTTACCTTGAAAACCTTGTGACAAGACAATCCAAAATGAAGAGATGGAAGATGACAGCTTGAAATTTATTTATTTATTTATTTGATTTTTTACCCCACCCCTCTAGACCATGTCTACTCGGGGCGGCTAAGAAAGGCACTCAGTCATCTAAAAGGAAAGAGCAAATTACAAGTAGAAATAACTGACTCAACTAATTAAAGCCAAAAGGACATCTAGTAGCTAACATGCACAGAGGTGAAAGGAAAATCCAGTGCTGCAGGACACATAGTGTTGGAACATGGAATGTGGGAAGAATGAATCAAGGCAAGGTGGAAACTGTAAAACAAGGAATAAAACACTTAAGCATTGCAGGGCAGTTAGGAGCTATAACTGACCCACTAATATCAATTTTTGTCTGGGAAAACCTTTCGACACAACAGTCATTCAAGTCTATGCTGCAGCTACAGATGTTGAGGAAGAAACAGAAAGCTTTAATGCAAGCATCTGGGAGGAAATTGATCACACACCAAAACAAGGCATGCTGAGAATCAGGTGACTGGAATGCAAAAGTGGGAAACAAAGCAGAACTGAATATTTTTGGAGAATTTGACCTAGAAGTCAGAAACAACACGTCAATGACTCATAGAATTCTGTGGAGCCAACAGGCTTCTTATTGAGGGGATCAAGTCTTCCGTTTCTCCAAATGGAAACCACAACCAAAAAATCAGGAGACTGAGACTTAGAAAAGTACTAATGAAGGAACTAGAAAAGATCCTCTAGAGCAGTGATGGCAAAGCTTTTTGAGGCTAAGTGCCCAAACTGCAAAAAAAAGGGGGGGGGACTTGCGGCAGAAGCAGGAATCCCGGGTATGAGATGCCTCCGGACCTCACTCCGGATCTGCCTCCATTTGTGCCCAACCTCTCCACTACCTGTAGCTCAGCTGCCCCGCCACCACCAGCTGCTGCGGATCCTGGCCTGCCGCCTGTTGGGGCACTAGCACCGTGGCTACAGCTGCCTCCTCAGGTTTGGTTGCCGGGGGTAGTGATCCAGCGACTTACGGCTTGCGTGCCCACAGAGAGGGCTCTGTGTGCCAGCTGTGGCACGCGTGCCGTAGGTTCGCCATCTCTGCTCTTGAGTAAAGATATGTCACTGGAGACCAAAGCCATGACGCTTCCCACTGTTGTATTCCTTATTGCTCTATGGGTGTGAAAGCTGGACAGTGAAGAAAGCTGATGTGGAAAAAAAGAGTTTTGTTTGAAACGTGGTGCTGGAGGAGAGCTTTGCAGATACCTTGGCTTTCCAGAAAGGCAGGCAAGTGGGTCCTAGACCAAATCAAGCCTGAGTTATCTTTGGAGGCAAAAATGTTGATACTGAGGCTGTCCTACTTTGGACACCTTGTGAGAAGGCAAGATTCTCTGGAAAGAAAACAATAATGCTGGGCAAGATGGAAAGCAGTAGGAAAAGAGAAAGACAGACGAGGAGTTGGACTGATTCCCTAAAGGAAGCCACAAGCCTGAGTTAGCACGAGTTGAGCAGGGTTGTTGAGAAGAAGACGATTTGGAGAGTGCAAATTGATGGTGTGTAAGAACAACAAATTGAAGATGATCTCTTGGAGTTTTCCAGCTTTCTGGTGGAATGGGTCTAGAGCTGCAGTTTCCAAGTCAGGGCAACCCAGGTGTTCTTGGACTGCAACTCCCAGAAATACAGCTTGTGGTGAAGGCTCCTTGGAATTGCAGTCCAAGAACACCTGGATTGCTCAAGTTTGGGAACCACTGATTTAGAGCATACATACACATCAGCACCAGTGTATTGATCATTCATCACTATATAGCTTCATCATGGAAATACGGCCTACTGTTTAGCAAGTTGAGAGCTACTGTATGTGAATTTCTTATGCGTGTTAAAAATTGATAGCAAAATATGACAGGCGTATTCTAGCTGCATCCGACATATGGCTGTCCCTTTCAAGAATTCCCATTATAAATGCTGCACGGAGTGTAGATAGATAGGTATGTGCTTAGAATGGGTATTCCCTCCCCCCAGCTGTTTATTAGTTACCTGTATCCTTTTTCATTTTAATAAATAAATACTTGCGCTTGTCTAAAATAATCCTTTTCCATTAATTCTTCTACTAAAGTTACTTCATCTTCTTATTTTAAATAAGAAAAACTGAGGGATACTTGCCTTCTCTCTCTCTCTTCTTCCATTAGACGTAAAGGGGACATAAAGGAGAACCACAGCCTCAGGCGGCGTTCTGCCAGTTATAGCCCCAAACGATCAGTACGCTCAAGCTCTGGCCATGCTAGGTACCGCACCCGGTCACGATCACGGAGCCCACGGTATCACAGAACAAGTCGGCCGAGAAGTCAAAGTCGGCCAAGAAGCCGTAGTCCGAGATGGATCCCTGGTCCTCGATACAGGTCCAGGTCTCCGTGGCGACCTCATCACCCCAGGTTGTACTTTCCTAGATCTTCCAGCAGAGAGAGGCGGTCAGGAAAATCTCGATCTCCAGGTGAGACATACGTTACAGAAGGTTTAGCAACAGATGCATACTTCCTAACTAGAATAGTTTTTTTTCTCTCTCTGTAAATTTTAGGTGTGAGAACTATCACACTTAAAATTTGGGATATTCATTTGATCATGGGAGCAGTTCTGTTACCCATCTTGAAAAAAAGGCTGAAAGCAAAAAGATGTCCTTGCCTGAAAGGGGTGGGGGGAGGCAAAGGCTCATTTTTTTACTGGCATTCATTGTGCTATAACCCATGTGACAGTTATTTTGTAATGACTAAGTGGCTATGTGAACCATCCTTCTTTAAAATGGAGGTACCAGGGAACGAGCGCTCTCACTGAAAACTCCAGAGCAAAACAGGAATGTGGGCACATCTTTTCTTTCTGTTCTGCAAGACAGATTCCCTATCCTGACAATAGGGAACCATTTTCGGCAGGACTTAGATGCCTACGTATATATCTGTGGAGGGAAATTGCACATGCAAGACTTTTGGAATAGATACAGGCTTGGTTGTAGACTTTAGCAATTTATATTATATTGTACTTCAGCCAATACAAAGAGACAAAACAAAAATATCTCCGAATAAAGGATTACAGACAAATCCCATTATGGCTTAGGGGGCCAAAATTAAGAAAAGGCAAGAAAGAAGTCCCACTTTCATCAATCAATCAGTAAATCAGTCAGTCAATCCCAGTTAAAGATGATCAGATGTCTAGTTACCTAAAATATTTTTACCCTGCCTTTCTCCTTAAAAAGGACCCAAGGCAGCTTACATAATTAAAACACAATTTTTGAAGTTGAAAAAAAAGTATAAAACGGTGGTTTAAATCATTAAAAGATAATATTTAAAGCTAAGAAAAAGGAGTGTAAAGAGGCAGCTTACATCATTAAAAGACTATTAATAAAAAGGAACAAACAAACTCCACTCTGAGAGATGGTAAACACAAGTAGTACTAAAGATCTAGGTAGGTGTAAAGTCCTCAGTCCCAACAACCCTTTAATATTTATTTAAATTATTACTTAATAATAATTCAGCTTCGAAGCACTCCTTTAGTTCATGGCCTTGTTTTGTCCTTTCTTCAGATTCAGTTGTGCTGGAACGTTTCGGACCGCAATTTTTGGAACGGTACGACATACAGAAGTCTTCCCACACCTCCAGCCGAGAGAGATTGGCAACAAAGAAAGCATTGCCTGAGCAAGGGAAGACTTCTGGGAGCGGACGAAAGACCTCCAAGAGCCCCCCTGCGCCTTCTAAAAGGGGAACATCTTCTCATCATGGCTCCTCTGGAGCGAAAGCGAAGCTGCCGCCTGAGACAACAGATGGCTCCAGTAAAGGAGGAGTTGTTGCTGAAGGGAAAACTAAGAAGCCAGCTTCAGGATCATCAGCGACAGAAACAGAAGGTTTCGTCCCATCGCCTTACAGTAGGGTCAGCAACATTTTTTGTTACAGTTTTTAAATTTACCGTATTCAGGCCGGGACACCCATTGTCAAGGTGGCCGCGGAAAGTTTCAGTGTTGGCCACTGCAACTAGGTTGTCCAAAACTGCAGCACAGTGTTTTTCCCCGGTTGGAATGAATGAGAACTGTTCAGTGCATATGAGAGAAGGTAAGGTTATAGGTTTAGCCTGCTCCCTAATTTGATGACCACATTCATTAACAGGCAAGCCGCCGCCTTTCTCCATAGCACAGCCTGATGGCCCCCTTAAGTTAAAATATCCTCTTAGCTCTTTCTGAGAGTCTGTGAACACATGGCTACAAATGAGCGAGAGCATACAAATCAATCAGTGTATTAAAAATCTTCTGAAATGTGGTTTCATTTGCAGCTTCTGTCAAGCAAAGCCTGGAGTTGTGGCACAGTTCTTCGAATATCTGATTTACCAGACGATGGCTATAATCAACAAGATATTAAAAAACTTGTTCAGCCCTTTGGAAAAGTTAGTGATATCGTTGTGCTTCGTACTAGGAAAGTGGTAAGTGACTTGCTAAGTTCCTCAAGGCCTTATTCCTGGGAGAAATTCATCTTCAGCTGCAACACCTTAGAGCAAGCAATATCTCAAGAGCTGATAGCAGCAGCAGCCCAGGTCCAGGGTGGGAACCTCCCTGCATTTGTTTGCTGATGTAAAGTCAGTTGGGTTTCTCCTTGTGTCCTTGGTTCTTTCAGTAGTGAGTCTTTGGACACTACATACTGTATTTCGATACTTTTCTTACGAAACCATGTTTGCAAGTTTGTTGCAAAGTTATTGCTGTAGTCGTCTTCCTACCATCCCCTCCCCTTCCCCACTTCGTCCTTTCAAAATAAAAATAAGATGGGTGGTTTCTGGTTTCCTACCTGCTTCTTTCAGGGCTGCTTTGTTGCATCATCTAGGGAAACTAATATAAAAAACCAGCTCCTGCAGGTGCTGGTTTTTCTGCTGTCCGAAGGTTGGGAAACTTCAGTCCTCCTTGGTTGCAGCCATCGACTCTTTTTTGACCTCAGTAGAAATGTCCAGAGGTCTAGTGGCTATGCAGGACACTTCCATGATTCCCAAAATTCAGGGGCTCAGAAGTTCTTGGTCTATAGCTCCAAAAAGGGTCAGACTCTCAACTGTTCCCGCCAGGGCTTTTGAGAAGTGTCATCCAAGAATATTTTGCCCCACAAGTATGGGAACTGCTGAGATTTTTTCCTCTTGAGACAGGTGAGCATTTTGAAAATACATTGTCTAAAATCCAGCAACATATTGTGGACGTACCCTGTAAAGGGTAATGAAGTCAGCAGAGGTGGCTATTCAGAAATTAAACATTTTCAACACTTTTCACCCCCACCCTCAGAAAGGTCATAAGGATTTTTTGGGGTGTGTGTGTGAAATCTTTTCATTATGGGGGAGATGTTGGGATCTGCAATTCTGTTGATGAAGTCTGATTTCTGAAAGTCATTTCCAGCTGTACGATTTCACTGCCAGTTGTGATTTTAGGAAATAAAGGACCCCACAATAAGAACGTTCAGCAACCCCTCACAGCTTCCCTGCAGTGAGAGTGATCCCGAGGGAGCCTCAGCGCCTTTGGTTGAATGGGGTGGGGGTCAGAAATTTTTAAATTCCAGAAACTGCGGTGGCTGATGATGATGTTATCAGTCTTATTTGGTATTAGCTACACTACTGCATTTGAGGCATTGCTTCTCTGTTCCCTGTTGCATGAGAGTTATAACCAAAAGGGAAATGGTTGGCCAGATAGCAAATACTGAAATCCAGTATCTCTTTTCATTAGGCCTACCTCGTAATGAATTACAAAGAGGCTGTAATAGCAGCTGTGAAGTATGGTGAAACAGTGCCGGTGTTGCTCAACAAAAAGCGTGTGAAAATAAGTGTAGCAGAAAAGCCGAAAGCGCATCCAACCGAGGTAAGCAGAAAGGTACTGGACAGTTTGTTGGTATTTCTTAAGACATATGCAGGCCCAGTGTAGCCCATAGCCCATGTGTGGTCTCCAGGGGCATTGTTTTGTCTCCAGTGGTCTCCACCAGCTGTCCCACTTTTTGAAAATGGAAAAACGGTTGGAGCTACCCAAGTTGGAGCTGCCACTGTGCCTCCCACCATACTTACCAGCAAGTGAATTGTGGCCAGTGACTGGCACTCCATGAGGTCAGTTAGGGAGGAAGAGACTGCCTGGGCAGCAGGAGCCAGGCAATGGACCTAGGAAGAGAGGAGCCATCTGTTGCACCTGGGGAACATGGGGAGGTGCCAGGTGAAAGGAAGGAGCCCAGAGAGCATGGAGCTTTGCGTATGAAAGAGGGAGATGCTTTGGGGGAAGGGAAGGAGGGCAGGGGTGCTTGGGTAGATCTGTGTAACAGACGTTGATAAATTATTTCGTGGAGGAGAATAAAAACTTTTCCACTTTTCAGACCCAGGGGAGTGAGAAGAAGGTGCAAAGTGTCAAGAAATCTCATTCGAGTACAAAGTAAGTGTGATGTCATGTTGTCTGTCTTGTGATATATCGGGTGAAATCCTGTTGCTTTGCAGAGTAAATTGCACTACAGCAGGCACATTAAATCAGTGGGGATTTGACTACATTGCAGCTAGAGCAGGCCTATTTAAATCAATAGGACTTATAGACGAGTTTATCAGATTGAATAAACCCTACCTAAGAGTCCTACAAAGCATTTTGGACCTCCAGGGAAAAAAATCAGAAAAAAAATTGAGGTCCATTCCTAAGGCCTTCAGATCCCGCTTGCAGATGTCCTTGTATCGCAGCTGTGGTCTCCCTCTGGGGAGATTTCCCTCCACTAATTCTCCATACAGGAGGTCTTTTGGAATCCAACCATCAGCCATTCTCACAACATGCCCATGCCAACATAGACGTTGCTGTTTCAGTAATGTATACATGCTAAAAATTCCAACTCATTCTAGAACTATTCTATTTGGAACTTTGTCCTGCCAGATGATACCAAAAATGCATTGGAGGCAACACATATGGAAGGTATTCAGCTTCCTCTCCTGCCGTGCACAAAGGGTCCAGGACTCTCTGCAGTACAGGAGTGTGCTCAGGACACAGGCTCTATAGACCTGGATCTTTGTATGTGTCGTCAGCTTCTTATTGAGCCATACTCTCTTTGTGAGTCTAGAGAACATGGTAGCTGCTTTGCCAATGCGTTTATCCAGCTCGACATCTAGAGAGAAAGTGTCAGAGATTGTTGAGCCAAGGTACACAAAGTCATGAACAACCTCCAATTCTTGTGTGGAGATGGTAATAGAGGGAGGTGAGTCCACGCCCTGGCCCATGACTTGTGCTTCGGGCGGACTGTTAGTGTAAAGTCTTGGCAGGCCTTGCTAAAACGATTCATGAGTTGTTGGAGGTCTTCAGCAGAGTGGACAACAACAGCTGCATCATCGGCCAAAAGGAAGTCCAGCATGCATTTCAGCTGGACTTTGGTCTTTGCACTCAATCTAGAGAGATTAAAGAGCTTTCCATCTAATCTAGTTCAGAGATAGATGCCTTCTGTTGCAGTTCCAAAGGCATGCTTGAGCATGATAGGAAAAAAGATCCCAAACAGGGTCGGTGCAAGGACACAACCCTGTTTCACTCTGCTTCGGATGTCAAAGTCATGTTGAGCCATCAAAAACTACAATGCCCTTCATTTCCTCATGAAAGGAACTGATGATGTTAAGAAGTTGAGGTGGACATCCAATCTTGGGAAATATTTTAAAAAGGCCGTTCCTGCTAACCAAGTCAAAGGCCTTTGTGAGATCTATGAAGGCCACAAAGAGTGGCTGTCGTTGTTCCCTACATTTCTCCTGTAACTGTCCAAGGGAGAATACTGTCTCAATGGTGGATCTGTTAGTTCAAAATCCACACTGTGATTCTGGGTAGACTCTGTCTGTAAGTACCTGGAGTCTCTTCTGCACAACACGGGCAAGCAGCTTCCCTACAATGCTGAGAAGAGAGATGCCATGGTAGTTATTGCAGTCGCCCCTGTCTCCTTTGTTCTTATACATTGTGACGATGTTTGCATCCTTCATGTCCTATGGTACACCACCTTCTCTCCAGCAAAGACAAAAGATTTCATACAGCTCAGTGGTGATGATCTCTTTACAGCACTTCAGCAGGGATGTTATCCTTCCCAGGTGCCTTGATGGAGGCAAGGGAATCCAAGACCGCTTTTATTTCTGCTAAAGTTTGTTCACTGTGCAACTCTTCCAAGACAGGAAGGCACTCTATGTAATTTAATGCCTCTTCGGTTACTACATTCTCTCTGGAATATAGCTCAGAGTAGTGCTGCACCCAGCGGTCCATCTGCTGTGCTCGGTCCTGGATGATCACGTCTGGAACAGATTTCAAAGGAGCAGATTTCTTCTGTATTGGACATAAAGCCTGCTTGGTATGGTCGTACATTCCCTTGATGTTACCTGTATCCTCTGCTATCTGTATCTGAGAGCAGAGCTGAAGCCAGTAATTTTTGGAACATCTCCTGGCAGCCTGTTGGACTTTGCTACGAGCAGCTCAAAGAGCCTGCAAGTTGCACTCACTAGGACAGGCTTTGTATGCTGCTAGAGCTCTCCTCTTTTCCTCAATGGCTGGCATCAACTCCTCCGAATGGGCTTCGAACCAGTCTTCCGTCTTTTTGGTTGTCTTGCCAAATGTGGACAAGGTGATGTTATAAGCAGCATTCTTGAAATGTTCCCATTGTTCAGGTGCATTTGCATCAGCCAGGCAAGGAAGGGTTTCCTCAAGCGCTTGGGCAAATTCCTCCACTTTTCTTTGATCACGAGTCTTGCTGATGTTGATATGTGATCTTCCTTCCCTTTTTGTGTGATACGATCTCTTTGTTGACAGTTTTACTGTACTACACACCAGGGACTGATCAGTATCGCAATCAGCAGTCTGGTAACTGCGTGTGATCGTAATACTAGGAAGGCTAGAACGTCTAGTGAGGATCAGATCGAGCTGATGCCAATGCTTGGATCTTGGATGTCTCCAGGAAACTCTGTGTTGAAGCTTCATATTAAAGAATGTGTTGCTGATACAAAGACCAGTTTTACTGTACTACACACCAGGGACTGATCAGTATCGCAATCAGCAGTCTGGTAACTGCGTGTGATCGTAATACTAGGAAGGCTAGAACGTCTAGTGAGGATCAGATCGAGCTGATGCCAATGCTTGGATCTTGGATGTCTCCAGGAAACTCTGTGTTGAAGCTTCATATTAAAGAATGTGTTGCTGATACAAAGACCATAATAACAGCAAAACTCCAGAAAGCGTTGGCCGTTTTTGTTTGTCTTCCTAATGCTAAAACCACCTAGACAAGTGGGCCAGGAATTGTGATCAGCACCAACTCTAGCATTAAAGTCTCTGAGAATGAACAGTGACTCTCTTTCAGGGACTTTTTTGATAGTACTGTAGCTGCCAGATTGTCGTAGAATTTGTCTTTGACTTCTGTTGTGGACGACTGGGTTGGTGCATATGCGCTAATGAGGATGACTGGTCCTGCTGGTGAGTGGAGCTGCAGAGACAGGATTCTTTCACTCCCCACAGTAGGTGGAACAATGGCTCTCAGTAGAGTATGGTGTGAGGCGCGCATACCATAGGTTCGCCATCGCTGCCCTAGACTCTTGTGAACTCAGAAAAGAGTGCACCATAGGACTTACAAACACTGCTTCATGTTTACATATTGTAACATAAGCATGCTCATTATAACATAAAACAGTTCATGTTTCAGGAATTGTTTTTGTTCAGTGGCTGTGGTGGCTTGCTCATAGTTTTGGTGCACTTAAAATGCATTGCAATGGCTATACATAGTAAACTATTTCTCAAGCCTCAAGTTTTAAAACTGCTTTCATTTTCAGGGCTGCTTTTTCCTTACCCTTATTTATTATTTTAATAGTGCAGACAAAATTTTAAACCTTGACAAGTTGATCCACCAAATCCCAAGTGATTCAGTGAGCCTGCTGTACTGAAATTACGCAGAGCAACAGATTTTCGGCCACCATAAATCAGCTTGACTACTATTTCTGCCACTGTTGTGCATGTGTTTGTTTGCTTGTTTGTTTTACTTTGTTTTTAAGGGATTTATATTAGTAATTACAGCCTAGAACTTTTTTCATTGTAGGAAAGAACAAGCTAAACCTCCATCAAAATCTGCCAAAGCATCTACATCAACAACCTCTGCTTGTGAGTTCTGGTGTATTCTCTCCAAATGTTCTCCTTTTTTGTTGCAATTGTTAGTGTTTCCTCCCAGTTGTGGGAGAAGTGTGAAGAGGGATAGCTTTTTTGGAAGGAACTATTAACATTTTAGATTTTTAGTTTGGTGGAAAAAGAGGACTGGTCGTCGTCGTCCCCTGCCTTGGTTTCTTGTGTATTCCTTTATTGATTTTACAGTTATATTTTCTACCCTTGTGGAAGTGTTGATTCAAAATAATAAAACTGGCCATAGCATCTGAAGCAGAAGGAACAAAACACAAGTAATGTTGAAATGCTATTGGAAATAAAACTTTGAATTGTTTTCTGAATTGATTGTGATGTTATAGTCAAGTGGGACTTAATTTCAAGATCTGTGGCTCAGTCACCCACACATTTATGTAACCATAGATATATTTTTTTAAAAATCTGACCACAGCAAAATCTAATGTTAACAAGCCTGCAAAAGCTGAGAAAGTCGAGAAAGCAAAGAGTAAGGTTGTGGATCAAAAGAAGTCTGGGACGTCCAAGACAACTGTAAAAGCGAAGAAGCCTGCTGCTGATTCTAAGAAGTCTGATGGGGGGGAGAAGGCTTCAAAGAGCAAGAAGACCACAGAACCTAAGAAAGTGGCAGAACCTGGCCCACCCACCGACAAGCCAGCAGCTGTGCCAGGTATCTCCTGAGCAAAGGGGGGGGAACCTACAGACCCCATATGTGCCCTGCAAAACTTCCTTTTGCAAAAAGTTATGTACCTGCCAGGAAGGGGGGGGGGTTTCAGCCTTAGTAATACAACTCGAGGTGTAGGCGCTGCTGCGCTTTTGTTGCAGGTGCCTGGGGAATGTCTGCTGCAGGCTAGTCACTCCCTCACCTCTTTCCTCATCGAAAGTGGCCCTCTGCTGTCCCTATGGAGGTTGCCTTGGGATGGCAGCAACAGGGCTTTCCTTTGGCTTGGCAAGCGTCGCTGGGCAGTGGTTGGGGGCTGCGGGGACATTAGTGGCCCCCAGCAAGGGGAAAGTGTCGCCGTTGGTTATAGGAAGGCCTTTGCGGGGAGGAGGTGGGGGATTCCCCTAGAAGACTGGCTTGCGGAAAGGTCCTGTATGTAAGAGAAAGAAGGGGAGCAGAAGGGGAACAGAATGGAGCCCTCTGTCCCTCCCCTCTTTTAGAGAGGGATTACTTCAAAGGTATGAATTTCAGTGGACATTTTTATGTGTTTCTGTGACCTGAACAAAATAACTGATTCAGATTACAGTTGGGTTTTTGACTTGTATGGTAACTTTTAAACAGGGACAGTTGCTTTATTTGATTTCTCTTTTAAAAACTACAGATAAAAAAGAGATGGTTAAGAGCACAGAAGCAGGAGAATCAGTCGTTAAGGTAAATCCCATCTTATAATATGTGTGTTTAAATGTGTGTGAGAGAGTGAGTGTGAGTGAGGGCAGATGTTGGTCCAGAGGAAGACTTGACCCATGACACCTTCCACAGACGACCTGTCACAAAGACAGTTACCTTATACTAGATATGGATCTCTTAAATATTATCTAAGCACATTGTGCCTCAGTTTTGATCATCTAAAAAGTAAAAATCAAGATGAAGAGGAAACAACTGTTTTTCTTTTAAAAAAAACCTTTGTGCAGAAAATTCTGGGCGTCTCTTCATTCATTTCCAAACAGAAAATCTCTCATAGGATTTCCTTCCCAGCGTTTTATCAGTGGGAAAACCTTTTAGGAAATCCATAAAGAAAATGTGGGAAAGAGCATTTTTGTTCTCATAGTCATCAGATTCCTAAGTGAGCAAGATTTTGCTGGTTTCTCTGCTTGGACTCAAGAAAAGGGCTCCCCCCCCCCACAAAAAAAACCCCAAACACAATAAGAGTGTATACGAGTTCTCCTACCAATCTGTTTGATCCTTCAGCTCAGGGGCTCCATGGCAGGGATTTCCCTCATTTAGGCTTGGGCTTGGAGAAAGACAAAAGCAAGAGACCTGCCTTGGGTCCTTTTTAAGGAGAAAGGAGGGTTAAAATATTCTAAATAAATAAAATAATGTTATACAAAACCTCTCGCCAATCATTCTGACGTGCCTTTTTTGCTTTTTTTTCAGGAGCCGGAAGAGATGTGTGTGGTGGTTATTTCTAGCCTGCCCGAGGCAGGGCTTACTCAAGACGAGATTTTCAACCTTGCCAAGCCATTTGGGAAAGTGAAAGATTTCTTATTTGTGTCTTCGCATAAGAAGGTATTGAGCCATTTGGGCAGGGCATTTGAAGGGAAAAGTCAGCATGTGTTCTGACTAACCTATTCTGCCATGCTCATGGTCTCTGTTCATGTTCTGGAAAGCCACCAATATTTCTGCCGATTGCTGTAACTAAGGAGAGGGAGATCAGACTGTGATAGGGATTCCTTCTCTTTCCAAAGGCATACATAGAAATAAGTCGCAAATCTGCAGACTCTATGGTGAAATTTTATACCTGTTTTCCAATGTGGGTGGAGAAGAACCAGCTCTGCATTACATTGGCGCCTGAATTCAAGGATCTCCGAGATGAGGTGGGTAAAATTTCCTCATCTTAAAAGGCTCTGCTTCCCCCTCCCCCCCAATTATTCAGACAAAAATGCTGCATTGTCTGTTTTCAGAGAGGGCAATGTTTGATGGAATGATTTCAAGTTCTTCCTATTTATTCAGTATGTATTTGTTGAATTTCCAATTTGTGGAATTCACTCTTGAGGTTTGAAGGCAACAGTGACCCTCATAGCACTGGTCAATAGTTGTCCAGATTAATGGATTTGGAAAGGCTGTTATCAGCTGAAACAAACACTTGGAGAGTTCATTCTCAGAATTTCTGCCAAGTAATTCTAGAGAGGTAGCCATATGGTTTGCAGCATATCAAGAATGTAGTGGCACCTTAAGGAATAGCAAATATATTTTAACATAAATTTTCATTACGCCTCCCCCCACCCACGCCCCATGTGCATGAAATGATAGTCTCTGTGGATAGGGCGCAGAGAGAATTGGGGAATGGTCTGTGCAAAAGGAAGCCAGGGCTGAAAAACTCACTACTTTGCAGAACACAAATGAAGATCGGGTCCATCAAAACGAATATGATTTGTGTATAATTGGTAGGCTGTGTTATCGGTCCACTAAACAACTCTTCTTGGTCCTTCCTTTTTTTTAGGAGGCTATATTCATTGCTATGATTAAAGATGCCAATCCTAACGTAAGTGACATAATATTGCAAACTGATCGGTAATTAATTCTTGTTTTCCAGCCTGAGTTTTGATAGGATTCGGGTAAACATAGGTGATGTTGATATGGGCTGAATTAGAATTTCTGAGTGTCTCAACAAAATGTCAGCCACTTACATTGTTTTGTGAAAAGTTGGTTTCATGTATTGGACTACAAATAAGAAATGGTGTGAGATGGCTTAGTGTGATACTGAATTACACTGCTCATTGTAACTTTACTTGAGAGTACTGTGTTGGACTTGATCGTATTGTAAAAATAAGGTACTACTATAACCATTAATGGGCCTCAACTTTGGAAGAGAGTTAGAAAAGGAGTGTTAGATCTTGGAACAGCTGAAACAAAGAGTAGAAACTAGCCTTTGGTGTCTCTGGGGGAAGAGAGCAGATGGCTCAGGCCATGCGGTCAAGCCATGTCCTGCCAGAAAAAGCAGGACATGCTTATGACAGTCGTTCACCAGGTGGGGGCAGAGGACAAATCCCATCTTCACCTTAGAAATAGGGAACTGTTATGATTTGTGTAAAAGAGCCTCCGCTGGAAACTCAATGCTCAACATAGATTTTGGCCCTTCTCTTTAATTAGGTAAACACAGAAAATCTTTATACACAGTTTGTGCATCTGGGCAATTTGCCAGATGGGGGATACTCTGAACTGGAAATACTTTGCGTTGGACTTCGATTTGGTCGAGTTGATCACTACATGGTGATAACGAATAAGAACAAGGTGAGTGCTGTACGTGGTGGGGGCTGTTATTCAGGAGTGTGTCAGGGGAGGGAATAAAAACACGGACTCCTGCCAGTTAAAAATTGTGTTTATCAGTTTCTTAACTCTAGAGAGTGTGTTCTTTCCTGTTAATTTTATCCATCTTTGAACTTTGAAGGCTCTTCTTCAGCTTGATAGTTCTGAGTCGGCTGCATCCATGTGCCGCTTCCTCAAAAGGTATCCTTACAGTTTGGGGGAGTCACAGCTGACCTTCTCGCGATCACCAAAAATCGAATCTCTCCCGGTAAGTGAACTGTAGGTAGTTAAATCTGTCTTTCTTTTTGCATTCCAGTCTGTTTGCAATGGTGGCATGCTATAAAAAACTAGGTAGATGTGTTGGTATTAACGTTCCTGATTTCTTTTGCAGTTTTGAATTTCTGGTTAACCTCTCTTTTGTTACACAACAGAATTGCAGAGATTTACAGAGGAGAATAGCTTCAAGTTCCCAGATAGACCAGACCTTTCATTAACTAGCACTTACAATCTTGCTATGTTGGAAGCCGCCTAGAGTGGACTAGTGGTCCAGATAGGCGGGGTATAAATCAAATAAATAAATACATTACTAACTCACTATGAGACTTTAATAGTAGAAAGAATAAAAATGTTCCATTACATACAGTTGTGAACACAGAGCAGCACACTAACAAACAGACAAACTGATAACTGGCTAACAGACAAAATAGAGTGAAAAGAGAACACTCAGCAGAGAGGTGGGGCTTTCTTTGAATTTTGAGGCAGGAGGGAATGACTGATTAATACTGGATAGATTGACAGTCACCCCAGCCCAGAAAAGCCCCTCCCAACCAACTAAACTACAGACGTCATAATAACATTGTAAAAAAACCCCAACAGTTTCCTTGCTCTCTCTCCTTGACTTTCATAATGGAGCTTGTTCCAGAAGTTAGTATCTGGAAGTTTAGCATTCATTCTCACCTCTTGATAGGACATACAAGCGGGTTTTAGTAGAGAATCATAATCGTGATACGCAATTAAAACTAGGAGTTCAAAGAGAGTCTGAGTCTCAGGGGAGAAGACAGGACAATTCCCAGAACAACCAGGAGCCTTTTCTCCTCCATCTCAACTAAACTGGCAGGCACCTCCTTGCCTGTTTTCTGTCTAGTTTAGGTACATCCCATGCGTGATGGTATTCTGTCTAAATGATATATGGTTTACTGAGCTGTGAAAATTCATTCTTGTTTGGTATGCAAGTGATTCCGTTTTCTCTTTTGCAAGTAACTGCTCCAGTCGCTAACAAACATCATATTTACAATTAGCTATCTGATTTCTTATCACTACAACACCTATCCAACATGGTGGATAATAATAAACTTAATTTAACTTCTGTCCACTTGGTTTTGCTTTACCAGTCTGTCTCTGAATTTGTTGTCAAAAAGAGCTGGTGGGCAAAGTTTGGGATCTCATTAAAGTTTGATAACATGTGCTCTTGCCTTTGTGGGCAGTACAGTGGTGCCTCGCTTTACGATTGCCCCGCATTATGACGATCTTTTTGCGATTGCAATCACAAAACGATGGTCTGAATGGGGCTTTTTCGCTTTGCGATGATCGGTTCCCTGCTTCGGGAACCAATTCTTCGCAAAACGACGATTTTCCTCCAGCTGATCAGCGGTTTCAAAATGACGGCCGAGTAAATAAAATGGCTTCCCGCTGTTTTCTGGGACGGATTCCTCACAAGACAGCTACAGAAAATGGCCGCCCTATGGTGGATCTTCACTAGACTGTGAGTTTCCAGCCCATTGGAACGCATTGAAGGGGTTTCAGTGCGTTTCAATGGGCTTTTTATTTTCGCATTACGACGTATTCATTCTACAGCGATTTCGCGGGAACGAATTAACACCGTAATGCGAGGCACCACTGTACTAGAGTTTCACCCATCTGTGGAGGTCCTTTTTCTAAATGAGACAGGAATGATCCGTCATAGTAAGGCATAGAGCCCTGCACAATTCCTCCTCATTTGCTAGACTGTGCTACCACTCTCGTCCTATTGGGAAACTGCTCCGAATTAGGCTGCATGACATAAGTTATTGCCTAAGCCCAGTAGTTTCTGTTCAAAGAGAAGAAATGTAAGATGCACAACCCATCAAGATAATTCTTTATCTTTTCTCAGTTAAAGGAGCTCTCTCTCTCTCTCTCTCTCTCTCTCTCTGTGTGTGTGTGTGTGTGTCTGTGTGTCTTTCTCTCCCTATCATACTTCCTGTTCATTGTCTGGTAAATGAGAGTTTGCAGAAAAAGAAGAATGTTGGTTTTCCTTTTGTCCTTCTCCCTTATTTTCTCCTCTTTTGCACATAAATAATTAGGTTTTGAAAACTAGAAAATATAGCCATGCAGTGTCTTTTAACATTACTCGTTTTGGAGACACATTTTGTAAATGTACACTGATGCTGTTTCTTATGAATTGCTCCAAATGTTCAATGCCAGACTTTTTTTCTATTTTGGAAAAAAAACCACAGGCTGAAGCCATGAAAAAGGAGGTGAGGAAGCAAGAACTGAGCAAGGACAGGTATGCATTTATATTAATAGCAGAAGAAACTGTCTGTGCATCTGTTTGTATGTGCTTTAAATTCATGACTGAATAGTGCTGACCAAGTATCCACCTCTGCTCTCCACGGTAAGCCTTGCATCCTGACTTCTTGATAGCAGGAAAGAACTATGTGTGATAGCTTACTCTTGCTGCATCACCCTTGTCCCGCTGCCTTGTTTCAGACTTATCTCAAGTCATTATCTTCTAAAGACAATAAATGCGTGTTTTGAACATGTAGACACAGTTCAGTTCCTTTAATATCAGTGGAAATGTTGCTGTTGGCCATAATGGGATGTGCACTAAAGCGTATGTAGCAGGCAAAGTTCCCTCTAAGCTGCGCCTGGGCGCCACTCTGCCTCCCTCCACACGGCTATCTTCCTCCTCCGTGCAGTGATCATTTTCAACCCCTTTGGTTTCAGGCGTGATGGAACCCTGCGGGGGAGGGGGAGAGTTGCACGCGCACCCAGGGGCAAAGTTGTATGTGAAAGAGGTGGAGCCCCACCCAGCAGGGCTGAAAATTGGAGGGTCTTCTGAGTTTCTGCAGTTCAGATGAATACAGAACAATAACATCTCCTTTAACCTGCTGCCATCAGGGATATCACTGCATATGCCCCGCAGCTTATTTCTGAATACCTTCTGAAGGTCAGGGTCGGACTTTCCCCTCGCTTGCTTTGGGTGATTCATGGTTGGCTCAGTCCCTGATTGAGCCCCATTTGACTGAAAAACTGGGCTTCCTGTATTGATTATCCAGCTTTTTGGCTGCAGTAGGAACAGTCACCAGAGGATTTAAAATTTAAATTTAAAATATGTCCAAAAACATGTTAATTCCTAAATCTGTCCAGACATGTGTTAATATATTAATTAATCCTGAATGAGTTGCACAGAATTTAAGGGACTGTGTTTGGAATTGACTTTATTTAATTAGGGAATTGATTAATAACTGAGCAAAGGTTATATTCTGGAGTGTGGAAAAAGGATATTTTTATTTTCAAAATTGCTTCTTCATCACAAATAATATCTGGAATCTTCTAAAATTATGTTTACATAGCTGTATAGCCTACAGATGTAGCCAAGATGAATATACTATGTCTAATAGGTAAATTACAGCTGTGGTGTTTGTTATTTTGTAATCATGTAAATTTGAAGCAGGTTATATGTACTGCATTTCACAATTAATAAAATGATGTTTTTTCAGAACACTGATCTACACATGACAGCAGTGTGACATACATTCCTACCATTGTATATATACACCATGCATATGCAAAACACAATTTGATTCAACAGTAATATCCAACCGTCACCTTGGCTTGAGTGTAAAAGTTGGGACCTGATTTTAGCAGCGGATGGAAGTGCTTGCATAGCTGCCCAGATGGGTTAAGATGGGAAGACATATTCATGGTTTCTATATGGTCTGCTTCTGGTCTTCTATGCAAGAGCTCTATTCCATAATGAAAATGCCTCCATAGCTGGTAGATGTACAAAGTGGCTGCTTTCCAAAACTTGTTCTTCATTCAGTCGTTGACGTTTATGATGGAGTCATCTCTTTGTTCCTCTATAAACCTGCTTCTCTCGAAGGTATAAATGCAAATAAGGACAGGAGAAAGTCTTTTCCCACTTTGGAATGCAAAAAGAAAGGTAGACTTTTCTTTCCACTTAGTTCCTTTATTTTACTATACAAGTAGACAAATGGAAACTGTATTTCTGGTTTCACGGTGGATTGGATTTACTTGATGAAATCGTGAGAAGCATTTCCCATTTGGTGTTAGCCAGTATGCACAAACAACACAAATTCTGTTGCCTGGCTGAAGTGATGGAGCTGCTTGTCTGAAAGCCTTGTGTTGCCTTCGCTTGTGGGGGCATGTTCCTGGAGTTAATTAAGATAACAGAAGACCAGCTGATTGCAAAATGGGAAGAGGCTGTGTGTGGCCGTCTTGCCTCCCCAGCCAGCCTGTCCTCTGCCTTTATTCCTTATGGATTGTCCTTCCTGCTGGATTCCTTAGCAGCTTGAAGAAGATACAAGACGGCAGTTGCCTGCAGATAGGTCCTCCGGAATGGTCCCTTTCTAAGGTGGCTTTCCGATGGTTCCTGAAATCAGAAACGCTTCATTCTTATTCCCTAGAATCTTGATTTTTTTAAGCATCTCTTTCATCCTTGACCCTGCATAGTTCCATTGCTTTCCTACACAGTATCATTAAAGGTTGTGTGGATTCTGGTATTATCTAGTGTCTGGGTTTTTGGTACTCAAGCTACTAAGATCCTTGTCTTGTCTGAAAGAAGAAGACTCGTAAATTCCCAGGTGGATTTCTTACATTCAGTTCCTGCATTCCCTGAAAACAGTACACAAGATTGATGTTGGCAGCTTCTCTCATTCTTGAGAGAGTGCTTAGGAACTGAATCCATTTCAGGCAAAGAGACAGCATAGTCCATACTTCGTACATTAAAACTGAAATTTTCAATTTTCCTATTTAATTTCAGCAGAAAATAAATACATGCACAGAACACCCTGTTGAGTCTGATTAATTGTCCTCCGAGGTAGATGTCTTTTTAAAGTTGATGGTCAAGGTTTTCCACAGTTATTAAATCTGTTCTTTGCATGGACAACAGATACAGCTCAGAGATGAAGAGCTGTTTCTAATTCATGCCAGAGCCTCTCCAAAGCCTGCAGCTATGTATTGTTCAGGATATTTCTTAGCTCCCTAGAATTTTGTAGTACCACCTGTGCAGATTACCGATTACCACTGCAAAGTTGGATGGATCTTAACTTTGTTTCAGTTCATTTTTAGGAGCACAGCTGCTTGTGATTCATCATCGGGGAGTCAGAATGTGCTTTGTGTTACTTATTCTGCCAATCCTACTTTTTGTAACCTGCATCCTTTTTACTTACCTTGGAATTTTGACTATTGGAAGGCTGTGTCTCAACCAAGAGAGCATTGCTCTAGTGTATATTTTACTGCTTTGCAGTCATCTTAGAGTTTGTTTGTTTTCCTGAACATTTGTCTTGCTTTCACAAGACACTGCCAGATAGTTATCTTGGAAGTAGATTATTGTAATGGTTGTTATTTTGCTGTTATTACAAAGATTTGTATGGCTTACATCCACAGCAGGCCTCCTAGCCTTGTTTTATTTTGTGTGACGTACAATACATTTCACCTATGCTCTTTATTTTGATTATTGTGATTTTGTGATGTTTATGCCCTTAAACTGACAACTCCTTTCACTGTATAATATACAGAAAACTGGACACTGTGTCCAGCTATATGTAGAAAACCAGACTCTTTCTACTGTAGTGGTAAGTGATACTTTGGCCTCCCTTTCTAGTTCATTTAGGCAAGATGCCAACACATCCAGTTTGCAAATAATCCATCATCATCCAGTTTATTATTCTAGAGAAAAAGTGAAACGGTATTGCTGTATAGTCTTTAGAGCCTTCTGGAAGGCATTTGGCTGGCTGCTGTTGGAAACTAGACGGATTGGGTAGACCCTTGTCCTGATCAGTACTGCTTCTCCCTCCCCTATGGTTCAACACTATGTGCTCGTTTGCAAGTGGAAATTCTTTGTGAAGTACTTACTACCCAGTACATTATCTCCTTAAGCTATTTTACTTTGGGGGAGATGGTTAGAAGGCTTGAAATAAAGTCAAATTGATTTCTGGACTGAAGGCTGTGTGAGTACATGTGTATATGTGGCTGTTCTAACTCCTTGTGCTCTTAACCTGATTAATTTCACTCCTCCAGGAGACTGCCCCATTAAATACCTTTGGTTCTGAAATGGAATCATAGAAGGGTGGAGAAAAAAGTCAGGAAGTGTTCCTGTCCTAACTCTGAATCGTTTTTTACCAGAGTCCTGTGTTCTCTATATGTACCTGTGTTCTGTCTGTCTTCAGACTCTAAACCTAAACGTCCCCTATCAGCTCCAGGGTTTACAGGGCACACATGTGTGATGACTAGTACATTCTGAGAAACCATTCAAAGGGCTGAGAGTGTTTTCCACACTGAGATGGCTTCCAGAAAAGGTAAATTAACATGTGGCTTCACTTTAAAGCCAGTTTGGTTGATAGGTTAAATTTCCCTATGCTAAGCTCTAATGCTTCAAGAAATCTCAACCATTCGCGCCAAGAGGTTATTGATAACTGTGGAGTTCTCAACATAGCTTGATTTCTTCTGTTTTTTTAAATATATTTAGCCCTGACTTGAAAACAATTCCCGAAGGATCAGGAGTGGTGCATCCATCTACCGTTCCTTCACCAAAGGCCACCGAGGCCAAGAAAGAACCCAGTTCTAACTTGAAGACTGACTTTCCAGAACCGAAAACTGAACAGTCGGCAGAAGTGAAGACGGAGGGCGACACTGAAAAAGAGGCATGTGAAGCAGCTTCAAAACCAGTGAAGAGTGAAATGTCAGAAGAGGACGTTGGAACTGGAGTAGCAGCTGTTCCTCCTGCCCCAGTTGATTTGCAGTCACCTGGACTAAAGTTGGAGGAAACCCTTGCGGCGTCTTCTAGTGTGGAGGAGGAAAAGAAAGCCACAGGTAACTCCAGCACTGAATTGTCGGGACATACATCACCATCTGTAGGAAGGAACCCAAGTGACAAGTTGGCCACTCCTGGTAAAACCACAGAAGAATTGCAAAGTCTGTCTGAAAAAGAGGTAGGGTCGGACTCTGCTGGGATAGTGGAAGCAGAAGATATGGCTGCTGATGCTCTCAAGACAGTTCCACAAGTCTCCACAGGACCTTCAGGAGAAGAGGAAGTGTCAGGTGTTAGCCTACTGTTGGGTAACAAGCTGCTAACTCCAGAAGCAGATAGCACAGAAGCGACAGCAAATTTGTTGGAGAAATCTGGTCCTAAGGTAGAAGTGATGGCAGATAAGGAATCTGATATCTCGTGTTCCACAACCGAACTAAGCATGGAGGTGGAGCCTGAAACAGTCGTGGAGAAGTATAAGGAACTCGCAGAGAAGTCTGAACTAGCTGCAGCTGCAGAAGGAACTGCAGAGAAGCAGCCTGGAGATCTGGTACCAAACGATGGAGCAGTTAAGGTGGGAAACCTTGAGAAGCACGTGGATGAAGAGGATCCTGAGCAAATGTTGTCTAAAACACAGCCAAGTAAAGAACCGGGACAAGTCAAAACGAATGAATCCTGCAAAACTGGAACCCTTGCAGCCACATCAGCACCCGGCGCGCAGGCCGATTCTGCTGGTAAGACTCCGATAGCCGTATCCCACACGTCAAAGACGAAAGCTACGACACGAAGAAAAGAAGGACAGAAGCCTGCCCTGGAGGCATCAACAAGGAGCAGAGTGGGTGCTGAGAAGAAACCCGTCTTAAAAGAAAGGAGTCAGGACAGACCTATGAGCAGCAAATTAGATTTGTCAGAGAGTGGCAGATCTAAATTGAACCCAAGTTCTCTTGCTGTTGAGTTAGGCAGTGGGAAGAGTTCGTCGCAGCAGAACAGAGACCCCCAAGTGGAAACTAAGGGTAGCCTAAAGCAGACGCGAGAGCGAGAGAATAGATCATCCAGCCTGAAGCGAGACAACAGCAGTACTAAGGTGAGGGGGGGCGAAAGTGCTGGCTGATTATGACTGGCTGGTAACTAACACTGATGCTTCTTCCAGATCATGAAGCAGAGCGGCGGGGATAGCCTGTGTCCAGTCCCGTTCCCTTTCCTGTAAACCACTGCATTTAAGTGGCGCCAACAACCACCTTGGCACCATAGGCGCCATGTGCATTTTCCAGAAGGTTTTACTTTAATAATTGGAAAGATAGTGATTTCTTCTGGGTAAACCTGAGGGTAAAAGGTCACCTCTTCATGGTACAGTTCTGAATGGGCAACTGTTCTTTCTTTCTCTTGCTGTCGCTATCTCCTTTGTCGTGAGGGGATGCTTCCGGTGTTGAATCCTGACTCGTGCACATACTGGCTGTTGCAAAGAAATAAGTTACTTGTGCTGTTTTTGAGAGCATTTGGCACCTGGACTTTTAGGCATGATTTGTGTCGACTTGGCTTGTGTAGAATATAATAAATTTCACTTCAGTTTATAGGGGGCAGTAATGCATTATTGTCTTTTGAAGACTTTAGATTTAATTCTCCCTTTTTCCCCCCAAAAAATTTAGGTATCTACTGGAAGAAGTAGTAGGCGTGTTAGAAGCAGCGCAAAAACGGAAGAGGTAAGGAGTCATCTTAAAAGATGATTCAGCATTCTTCCTTGTTACGAGTTTTTATTCATTTTCAATAAGGGTTGGGGTTAGATACAGGGGAATAAGGCAGGGATGAGTAAGGATGGGGAAAGGGTAAAATTCCAGAGAGCGAAAGAGTATTCTTACATCCACTTACTTAGTTATGCTGAACAAGGAAATCACACAAGTAAACAATATAACACATTTTCCAGAATATATATCGTTACTACTGTCTCCATTCCTTTGGACTCTTGAAGATGATTTAGCATTCTGACTGTTTTCAGGAGCAACTGATGTTTGTTTCTCCAAGGCTTCCCCACCAAAGAAACCTTCTGAGGCTACTGCTTCTTGGAAGCTCACCTTCAGGAATATGGATCTTCAACATAACTCCACCACCCTTACTATTCTTTCTGTTATTTTTGAACAATTGGTATCCTTCAGTTGCTGTATTCCAGTCATGGGAGTCCACCTACCAAGTTTCAATTATCTCTATTAATTTGTTATTTACCCTCCTGAACTAAGATTTCCAGTTCTTCTTGTTTGTTTCCCAGGCTCCTGGCATTCTTGTATAGACACGAGTTTGCGGCCTGCTTTATTTCCTATATTTTTTTGAAGATTGTTATTGGGCTGCGTTAGAGGTGCTCAGCCTGTTCCTCTTTTTGTACATAAGCCTTCACCTCTCTTTACCCCTGAGCTTGTGTGTCCCCCCCCCACCTTCCAAATGAGTTTAAAGCCCTCCTGATGAAGTTCTTCTGCCTGTGGCCAGGCAGGCACATTCTTAGCTCTTGTGAGGTGCAACCCATTCCTTGCCAGCAGTCCATCTTCCTCAAAGCATTGCCTTTGGTCCCCAAAATCTAAATCCCTCACGCCGGCACCAGCTTTGTAGTTGAACCGTTTCCCATTTCCATTCTGTTCCTCTTCTGAGTCCTGGTAGGAGGGATGAGAAGCGTACCTGGGCCCCAAAGTCCTTAAATTTTCTTCCCAGAGTTTCAAAGTCTGATACGGTTTCTGTATAGTTCCTCTTGGCTGTGTCATTTGTTCCCAAATGGATGAGAAGAAAGAGATGTGTATCTGTGGGATTTACTTATTTATTTAGAATATTTTCAGCCCGCCTTTCTCCTCGAAAGGGCCCATTTAATGAATGACGGCAGTCTGGTTGCATCTCTGGTTGGTCCTCCAGGGAGGCAGCCTACCTGATGGGTCCATGGCTCTTCCTGACATTCTTTTCAGTTTTCAATCCCATGCACTAGGAAGCCTCCTCCTCCTCCAGTTACTCTTTTCTTCCTCTGTTTTGTAGGGCGTGGTTTCTGAGACTGCTTGGCTGAGTCTCACTACTACTACAGGTACTCTTTTCTTCCTCTGTTTTGTAGGGTGTGGTTTCTGAGACTGCTTGGCTGAGTCTCTCATGTCCTCCTGTGAGAGCTCCCTATACTCTGTTTCTTTCTCCGCATGCTGTCTGCCAGACTCTTCCAGAGTCTAAAAGTGGTTTTGCAGTTCCACTGGGGAAGAGTGTCTTCTCCTTCTTTGGCTCCTAACAGTAACTCTTTTCCATGGTGCTTCCTCCCCCTATGCTTCTTCTCCCTTCAACTTTTTGGGCTGTTCTTCTGCCTCTCGTGCCTCCTTTAATTCTCTTGAGAGTTCTGCTTATGTGCTGTTCATCTTCTCTTATAGCCTAAAGCCTGGCCAATGGCTGCTCCAGTTCTTTTCATTTTTTCTTCTAGCAGTGCTGCAAGTGTAAACTTTGTAGTTCTCAGGCACAAACGTTGAGTTGGCCAGGGTGAAAAGAAGAACTGCTGCCGTCAGGAATAATGGCTATTAGAAAAAGGCTGTTGGAAGGAGGAGTCTTCCTCATTTTGATTTTTTCGGGAGAGACAGCATGGGAACCACTACCATAGTTGTAAAATTCCTGAGGCCTTCACCAGTGACTGTGGCAGGATTCTCAATCTGACAACATCTGGGAGGCCATGAGTGTCTCATACCAGTGAAAAAGGGTAGTGTCTTTGCTTCTGCATGGATTCAGTTGCAAGATATTTGATGGGTGTACTTTTTGCCATTTTTGTAACCCCGACAATTTGCCGTCTCCTTCTGTAGCTTTCTTGATCTGAGTTTCACATTGCCAGTCACCTGCTTTTTGACAACTTTATTAAAAGCCTGCGTTTTTCTCTTTCGTTTTGTAGGAAGAAGAGCTTTCTCCATTTAACTTGGATGAGTTTGTTACGATGGACGAAGTTGTAGATGAAGCAGATTCTCCCTCTCCATCCAGAAGGAATCCTGTGAGGGGCAAAAGGAAGGACCCCCCAAGAAAAAATCTTCCTTACGAACCCAGCTCTAAAAGGAAGAAGGGGAAGGTCTCTGCGGCACATGCTGCCAAGAGCGAGACCTCCTTCGTCACGCTGGACGAGATTGGAGAAGATGAGGACGGGGTGGCCCAGGTGGAACTCGCAAGCTTGGAAGCCATACCAGATCCCCAGGTGCTGGTCACGGTGGATGAAGTGAATGATGAGGAAGAGCTGATGGAGGATGTCATCAAAGATCCACAGTCCCTCGTGACTCTGGATGAGATCTCCGAACAGGAGGAACCGGCTGTGCCACCTGACTCTGCGAAAGATGCCTTCGCTTTGGGAGACCAGGAGCCAGACCTTAAAGCAGAGCCTTTAGTCACTGTGGATGAAATCGGAGAAATTGAAGAGCTGCCTTTAGACGAGCCCTCTCCTTTCAAGGACAAAGAGGATGCAAAGCCCCAGGAATGCGAGAAGCAGATAGCGGAAGACCCTGGAGACGTCTTCGCTTCCCAGATGCCAGACGACCCTAGTGCTCTGGTCACCGTGGATGAGATCCACGAGGATAGTGATGACCAGCCCTTAGTGACTTTGGATGAAGTGACAGAAGATGATGAAGATTTCCTGGAAGACTTCAATCGCCTGAAAGAGGAGCTTAATTTTGTTACCGTTGATGAAGTTGGCAGTGGAGAGGAGGAGGAAAAAAAAGATGACATTTCTGCCAGCCCAGTTGTAGAAGAGCCTGTTACCAAAATAGCACAGAAAGAAGAGACCACCGTTTCAGTTGCTGAAGAGGAGGCTGAACCGTCTTCTGAATTGGAAGAAATTGGAATTTGTGCTGATAACTCAAAAGAAGAGAGCGTGAGCATTAGGGACGAACTCTGTGAAGGACACGTGGGGGCTGAGGCTGAGACAGAGGGCCCTGAAAAAGAGGGTTGCGCAGCAGAGGCAGGCAGGCAGGAAGATGACCTAGAAGTTAAAGAGAAGGAAGAAGGAGGAGAAGATGTAGAGGGCTCAGGCGAGACCATTGAAGCACACCCCGGTCGTGAGCAGCTCTTGACAGGTAGGAACTGAATTAGTCTTAGTGGGTCAAACATTCAAGGAGGCAGATGCTGCCTTGGCAAACCTGTAAATATGCACGTGGTCTTCCACTCAGATAACAAGAACCGGAGGGAAGTTCAGAAACCTGTTAAGATTAAACCTACATTGCACATGGGAAGAGAAATAACTGTGTGAAGTATGTTATAGTTACCTACATCAGTGAAGGAGCTTGCTCTTTCTGGTTTGCATTGGCCTCTGATTCTGGAAATATGGAAGAGCGTATAGCTGGCACTGAGCACAGACTCTAGTGGCAGAAATGATTTGTAAGCTGTATGTTCTTTGAGAGCCTGCATTGCTCTCCTCAGCTTTCTAGGTAAATGCAGAGTGCCAGTCGGAGCCCGTCAGTAGCCCTTGTTCCCATTTAGCTTGTTCCCAGCATGCTCCAGGACTGACTTCATTCTGCTTGTGGTCTCAGATTCCCCTGTAATGGCGATTAACAGTTGTATTAGCGGCAGGTTTAGGCATGTAGTGTAGTCTGTAAGTGCTGTAGTTTTTGCCCTCATAACCTTCCTTCCTTCCTGTCTAGATTTATAGGTCAGGTCATACCTAATTGTTCTCAGCCTGGGCATATTTGTTCGTTCTATTTGTTTGTAATGTTTCCGGGTGGCTTGCATAAACCAGTTAAGACAAGACAGTCCCCGCCCTAAGCTTGAGATTAAGGAAAATCAGTGACACACAGGAAAGGTGGATGGAGGGAGGGTAAAAAGAAATCAAGAAAACCCAGGCATGAGTTTTTAATTGTGCACGTTTTCTTGTGCCTGCTGGGTGAGAGTTGGTCAAAAAGACAGGGCCTGTTGGAGCCGAGTTAACAGGAAGAGATGGTGGCCCTGCTTTTCTTCTTTCCCTCTTTCGGCAAAATGCCTGCTTAGACCGCAGCGTAAAGCTTGGTTAGGCATTTAGGTGCCAAGCAGATTTGTGCTTTGGTTGGAATATTGGCCCAAAATAGGACAGATGAGAGCCAGGTTCAAATCACTCCTCCACCATGGAGTTGGTCGGTAACCTTTGGCCAATCATATTCTCTCAGTCTAACCTCCAATTGGTACAGTTGTCATGAAGACAGCAGAGGTGGTCAGAAATGGTGTGGCCCTTTGATAAAGGATACACATAAATGTAAAGCAGCTGGTGTCCTTGCTCTGTCAGTCAAAAGCAAAGCCTGGGGATAGACAACAGGCGACCGCTGTCTCATGGGCAGCTTTCTCCAAGCCGGGAGGTCGGAAGACGCTTTCCCTGGTTTGCTAAGAAAGGTCCTTTTAATAGGAGGCGCTAAGGATTGCATCAAGTGTATTGGGCATGGGCTTGTGCCTCTTGAGTTGTGGTCCTACTCTTGTGTCTGAGCAGAAGCTTCCGGAAGTCCTAGGCTAGGTCAAGGTTCTTCTTCGTGGCCTTATCCACTTACTCCAGAGTCCCTGTCCCTGTGTTGTGTTTGTTTTTCCTCTGCTTTAATGGATGGGTGGGAACAACAGCCCTTGAACTTTCTGGCAGCAGAACGGGCAGTGGCCTAAAGGTAGTTCTCAGCTATCAGCAGCTTCCATTTTCTTGGAGAAATTGGAAGAAGGTGTGATGTCAGAAGAGTCGGAAGGGAAGGTTGTAGTTCAATACCTGCTCTTCTGCATTGAGTAAGAAATGGAGCCTCTTCCATTTGATACCAGATCCTACCTTACTCTCACCGTGCAGTAAGAAATGCAAAGTGGGTTCTGGTGTCCCGATGCAAGAGAGCAACTGAGCCATCTGAGATTTTGTTGAAAACAGAGCCAAGGACCTGTGAAGAGAGCGCTGAGGCCAAAGCCACTGAAATGGAAGCCGAGGAAGCCTCCGAATCCCCTTGTGAGGAGAAGGAACCAGGGGCTGACCTGCTGCTGCTTTCCGCAGACCTAGATGCTTCCGCAGGGGGCGTGGAGACGGCAGGAGCTGAGGAACGGAATGCTGCAGGAAGTGAACTGCCTCCCAAGAGCCCTGGGCAGCCTCCCGAGGAGAATTTGAAGAGCTGCAGTGAGGCAGCGACACCTTCACAGCCCTCTGAAAAACCCAAAAAAGGTAAGACACCTGCGCTAGAGAAGTACAAGTTGGACTCTTGGCTGGCCTCCCCGCCCCATTTGTTTGTAATGGCTTCCACCCTAACAGCGACTTGCAATGGCTTCTCCCAGAGCTCTCCATCCCCTGGAACTCGCTGTAACATAATGGCCAAGAGCCTGGGCTGTGCCTCCAGAGTTCCCTGGCGTTGACTCTTGCATCTGCTGTGGTCTCAGGCGGTGGCTCTCGGCTCTCAGCTGGAGTCTCCCCTGTCTTTAGTCTTGAGAGTTAAGGGTTGGGATGATTGTGCCAATTAGGCAGAGTATATGAAACGGTTCAAGCACTTGAGAGCATTGTGCAGGTGATAGTGATGATGATTGCTGATATCATGATACTGCAGGCTCTTGCCTTTATTATGTTTATATCATGTAAAGTGGTCCTCAAGATAGATAATAGTGTAATATATAGATAAAAAACACACACACGTTAAGTGTATTGGATAGTAGCCTTAAATTCTAGATAAGTCTGGTTTTCCATTTCAGAATGACTTGTCTATCCTGACAGTGTTAAGAAATTACTGAATATGTTTTCCACCTGTATTTCTTTGGGAAATTAAAAAAAATAAACAATGTAGCCCAGTCCAGCATTGCATTCCCATGAGTGATAAACATAACTTGTTTATTGAAAAAAGTACCAAAAAAATCCTGAACAAGCTTCTGTAGTCTAGAGATGACAGTGCTGGAGTGTAATGCCACCCTCCACACACACACACACACACACACCATATCCTGACAGAAAACATAGTAGAATAGATTCATTAAGGTGGGAATGCATCAATCACTCCCTGTCATTGCATGATGTAGAACTAAGAACACCCGTAGTTCTGTATCTATTTTCCCAGACAACTGATGCAAAATGCGCCCAGAAGGTGCATATCACAGAGGAATCTGGGCACGGTTTCCTCTAAATGTTTTCAGAGAGCAGGACTCTTAATTCCCCTCTCTTCTTTTAAGTTACTATGCTTTTAATTAACACCTGTCCTTTCCAGTAATTTGTCCACTTATGTGTAAGCTTTCTCACATACCTGAAAGGCAAATGCTATGTCTTACAGTTTTCTTTCAATAATATGGGTCCTTGTTTTAGCATTTTTCATTGCAGTTTCTCCGTTCTAAGAATAACATCTCCCCCTGCTGCTATAATTGGTTAACATTGCTAAATCTATATAATTCAAATATAATCTCTATTCAGCACTATAATTTCAAGTTGGAATGTATACTGAGGATATAGAACCTATCCTCAGTATACATTCCAACTTGAAATTATAGTGCTGAATGGAGATGGAATGTAACATTACTTAGGTGTAGGACAGAGAATGCTGCTGAGTATCCCCTGACTAAAATGCCCTTTGAAACCACAGTCATGTTTCTCAGATTTGCAAGTTTATCAGTTAGAGCCTCAGGTCACTGTTAGTACATAATAACAGTTTCTCCTAGCAGTACCTCTGCCATCCATATGAAAACCGGCTGGCAAATCACTGAAAGTGTTATTCTAACTCCACTGTGCTGTACCCAGGCTTCCATTCCATTTAGGAAAAATCTCTGAAGATTCCAGAAACAGCAGGGCACTGAAGGTTAGTCAGCACCTTGCACCTTTCAGAGGAGCCAGCAGGAACCCCCAGCTCCCCATGTGTCCTAGTGAGTCTTCTGCTTTGGCATTCAGCTCCCAGTCAGAAGGAAATCAGCACACCCCTCGTATTTCTTTTTTTCAGGAATGACAGCGGGGTGGACTGCTGTGTGGGTGGAGCTGGCTTCCCTGGGAGGTTCACGGCAGGGCATCAGGACAGCTTCTGAGGGGCAGAGGAGGAGCGCGCTCTTTCTTGTACAGCGGTAGTGCGTGTGTGCAAACTGTGTCTCTGAGAGAGTGTGGTGACCACAACCATGGCAGATTCCATGCAGCATGGACTGAGGGGCCTTATATATGCGAGTGAGCACTTTGGCTCACACTGCCTCCAGCCTTGACCTGAAGACTTTGGTGGATCTCCCATCCTGTATGTCAGTGGACCAATAAGGCCGTTGCCTCCTTTTCATTGACATAATGTCTGTGTATAGTCAGCATGCAGTTGCCCATTACAGGGCACCATTGCTGCTGATGTTATTGGTGTTAGGTACTGATAATGTTAGAATTCTGAGGAGATGAATACTGAAGCAAAATGATTGCTCAGGTGGGCAGAAGGTAGATTTAGAGCTACTGGTTAATACTCAAGTGATTTGAAGTGGTTCAGTTTGTGCTACTTAGCTGTTTTTGCAGTAGGTCTATGCGACTTCCACATGATTTTAGCAATAAGAAAATTACCTCCTACTCTAAATTACAGTGGTACCTCGACTTACGAACGTCTCCACTTACGCATATTTCGAGTTACGAATGGCTCTGTTGGCAAAATGTTGCTTCGACTTGCGAACAGAGCTTCGATTTACAAATGAAAAAAACCTTTCCTGCCCCTTTTTGGACCTAAGTTCAACTTAGGTCAAAAGAAGAAGAAAATTCTCTCCCTAGTGGTAGAGTACGGATTAACCATCTTTGCATTAGTTCCTGTGGGAACTAATGCCTCTACTTGCGAACAGTGCCTCGACATAAGAACGAAAAACAGCCGGAACGGATTAGATGGTTTTCACTGCATTCCTATGGGAAATTTTGCCTCGACTTACAAACTTTTTGACGTACGAACGCCATTCCAATACGGATTAAGTTCGTAAGTCGAGGTACCACTGTATACTACTGGGGTGCTCATTAAATTTGAAGGTACAGGCTACCTCTGTTTACGAATTTAATGCATTCTCCAGGACATTTTGTAATGCGAAAAATTTGCAAACCAAAACTGGGTTTCCCATAGGAATGCATGCACTGAGGGGGGCAGTCCCTGGGGTCCCTTCCTTCTCTGCAATTCTGTGACTCTTAAAATCCAGTTTGAGGATCTTGGAGGTTGTGATAAAAGCAGAATAGATCCCAAGAGGCTGAATCTGTCTTATGTTTCTTAGATTAGATTCAAAGATATGCACTAATATCTAATAAAATAAAAATTATTCAGTAGATACGACTGAGTCAGAAGGTGAAGGGCCAGAGTCCAAACGGAAGAAAATCGATTCTGCAGAGAAAGGCGAGACCCCAAGCTCCCTGAAAGGTAAAACCGGAGAGCCCTCCTTCGTTGTATGGTCTTCCTAACAGACTGGTTTCTGTCCTAGGCTTTGTGTTCAAGTCTTTACTGGTTCAGCTAAGGAAATGGGACAGGGGTGAACTGTCACCATCTTTGGCAGGGCGGGGGGGGGGGCTGCCTGAAGTTGGCATTGTTGTTTAACTAATTCTGCAGGTTTTGTCTTAAGCACAAGGTACCCTGTGGATACAGCCTGTGGATTTTTAATGTTGGCTTCCAGAGGTTTTGTTGAAAAGATTGATTAAGAGGGGAGTAATTTACTCTCAACCAATGCTTTTGTCTCCCTTTCTTTTTCTGGCAGCTAGATTGAAGGCAGTAATAAGAGCATTTTGTGACCGGCAATATCTTGTTTGTTTGCTTGTTTCATTTATAGGCAGGCTTTCTCCTAGTAAAAGATGGCTCACAATATTAAAAATGATAGAATTTAGAACCTGATAAGTTAAACATTGGAAAAATAATTAAACTATACACTAATTAAAGAACAATTGAATAATTAAAAGCAAGTAAATATTAAAAACTACCTTAACTTTAAAAAGGCATTCAGGGACACAATCATGATTGTTAAAATTCTGCCTGAAAAGGTGGGTTTTCCGCTATTGGCGGAAAGATAATCTTGTTACCGTGAGAATTCCGATTTGCATGGGAATTCTCAATGGGAGACGCAGCTTCTAATCCCAAGGGTGATCTTCGGCCAGTCAGCCACACATTCTCTTCCTCGACCGGCCTCCTGGACTATTCTGAGGATCCACTGCGGAGGAAGAGGGCCTCATTGAAGGAAAGGCAAGGTGGAAGTGCGAGAAACGAAGAGATATAGGAGATGGTGGGGGGGCAGTTGCAGAGTGAGGAGACGTATTCTGCAAGGTGTGCGCTTTTGATGGGGTGAGTGGGGGAGGTGTCAGCCTTTCAGCAGACATTTGTCCATACGAGATTGGGGAGGCTCTTGTTTTTGGACAGGGTCTTGTTTTTGGACAGGGGAGGGGGGGGCTGCATTACAGTAGCAGGGGGAGTTGAGGGCAGTGGGTGGAGTCAGCACAAATGGAGCAGGGGCCCATTTTTAATTGCCTGTCAATCTAAACATTTTTCCACCAACCTGGTGCCTGCCACTCAGGAGGAAACTCCAGTGAAAGTTCTCCAGGCCTTGAAATGGCACCTGACCTTTTCTCTCTGTTCAGGAATTCCCCATCTGCCTGTAGGCAGATGGGGAACTTATCCAGCCCCATTCTGTTATGTCTTTTGCATCTGTTTTACTTTACCATCTTTGCTTTCTTTAGCACAACAGAGGGAAGGCAAACTGTCAGGAAGCTGAGATGGCAGTGGATATAGGAATGGAGAGGCTGAGCTTCCCAGAAGATGTTTTCCTTCTTGAAAACCTAAGAGCTGTTATCTAGGCAGATAACAGGGTGAAATTGACTTGGCTGTGTACAAGCAGTTGTTCATTGATGTTTGTCTCCTTTCATTTTAAGATTTAGACTTCCTTGTTCCAAGGGCTGGCTATTTCTGTCAGATCTGCTCCTCCTTCTGTGTGGATGAAGCATCAATGAAAACCCACTGTCAGTCTGAGCTCCACAAGCAAAATATGGAGGTAGTGTTGCTTCTCTCCCCCTTGGAACCTTAAAGAACAAGAACCGGGATTCTTGAAACAGTGTTAATGTTCCCCTTTTCTGGCAATTTTGTGCAGGAAAATAGCTCCCGTGCAGTGAATGGACTGTAAAAATTGAAATTTCTTCCGGAACATAGTGTCACAAGAGGGCCTATTTAAGTATTCCATTTTCGTGCCGTATATCAGTCTGTTCTCTATATTACATTGGGCAGAGAATGACATTTACTGTACTCGAAATATTCCTCAGTGCTGTGCCCGTTTGTACATGCCCGTTGGCTTTCGTCAGATGTGAGTTCTGTCTGAAGAGACAGGGAGAGACTCCCCTCTTTCCCAAGCCTTTTTTTAAAGCCAGCCAGGCTTTGTTTTCATAATTGAAGCAAATGTAGAAAGTTTGCTACTTATTTGCATCGGGTGACCAGGAAGCTGCCCTGGTGAAAAGGAGAAACTCTGTCCCTGAAATACAGTAGTAGAATAAATGCAGCCCAAAATATGAATAATAATTAAAAAAGTCTTCCTATCTCTGCACATCTCTGAGAAGGTTGTTAGTTTGCCACATGTACTTCAAAAGCTTCTGTGTCTTTCTGCAGAAATTTATGGTCAAGAATGCAGCACAAGAAGAACAGAAGGGAGTGAAAGAAGGTGGTGAAGAAGAAGAGAGTTCAGCATGATGCCAGAATGTGAAGCGCCTCTGCAGATTTTACTAAGGGTCCAGTCAGTTCTTTGTATTATGCTTTTGCTATCCTTTTGTTTCTTTGCAGATGTTTGTGTTGTATGCACTTCTGTTAACTGTAGATCAAAAATGGTGCAAAGAATGCAGTTGTTTTTTGTTGCTCTTTGCAATTGTGCGGGAAGTATTTTGAATAAATGTTCTTATTGTATAGTCAGCAGATCTGTAGACGGTCATTTTTATCGTGTTGATTGTTTTACTTTGCAGAATAGCTGGCTTTTGTGTTCTTTACAGCCTTTTGTTTTGACTCCCCTGTTTTTTTTGGGGGGGGGTTACAGCGACCTAGGCAGATGATTAATACTTGCTATTCCAGTGTTGACCTCTTATTTTTGAAGGAGAGTATTTTACATTCTGCTGAGTGGAGAGGTTGCTGACCTTTGACTGTTTCTGGAAAGCCATTTTAACCTGTTGCAAGAAAGGAAAACTCTTGGGACGCTTTGAAAATATTCCTTTGCTGGTGAGAAGGCAGCATCCAAAAGGCGGCCTGTAAGGATGACGTGGCCAGGAATTTCGATCTACAAGCAGTGGCCCTTGGCTCCACAGCCCATTACCCTGCCTTAGTTCAAGCCAGAGCCAGCTCTCTGAATTTTTCTCTTGTCTTGTTTTTTAATTCAGCAAATCATCTACAAAACTTAAAAAATCCTTTTTTAACCACATGATTAGAAGAACTAAACAGATTGCAAAAAAGCTGAATGAGTTGTTTTCACCAGTCTTTGTCACTAATGGTGGCGTGGGGTGCAGGCCCCTCTCTGAACTGGTATTTTCTAGAAGGGGGAAAAAATGAAGAACCAAGAAAATTGTGATGTGCCTAAGAGAACATTCTGTCCCTCGTTAACAAATTGCAAACCAACCCACCCCCATGTCCAGATGGTATTCATGCAAGGGTTTTTAAAGGGCCCAAATGGGAAACTGCTGGCTTTCTAATAGATAACATGCCCCTACCATCATCCACCTTTGAATGAAAAGACTTGGAACGCGGCTGATGTAACGCCAGTTTTGACAAAAAGACCCAAGAGGGTCCAGAAAATTCCAGGCTACGTAACTGAAGGATGGGTGGAAAGCATTTCTAAAGATACCGATTGCCCCACCTACCAAGGCAAGTCACGCTGAAAAAGAATCATCACAGCAATTTGTGTAGAAGGAGTCATTCGGTAGATGTTTGCTTCTTACGGATTGAAAACTGATTGAAGAACAAAAGTGAGAATAACTATTCGTTTCTTAACCTGAAGAGACATGACGCCTCTCAGGAATATTTGGGAGTGTGCTTTCTACCCTAAGGGATGATCGGCAGGGTGGTGACATTTGCTGGTGGTACCCAGTTGTTTAGGTTGGGGAGAAAAAAAAGGAGTTACAAAGAATTTGCATCCCATAAACTGTGGTATAGCAGCTTTTGAACTGGGTGAAACTATTACCTAGCTACTTTTACAGAATCCTTAACCTTTCCCTGATGGTACAAACATTTTCATGACTTGTTCAACTCATGTGGCACCTTTTCCTGAAGTGTACAGTGACTAAGAGCACAATGGGAGGATAACATCCCATTAAGATGTTGAGCCCTTTTACAAATCAACTGTTCTTCAGCTTTTATACTCTCCATTGAATGAAGGGCAGGGAATGCGCACCTTCTCAATAATCTCCTTTCTCAGCCTCCCTCTTAGATGGGTCTCCCTCTGCCCGGCCTTTATTCCCTGTGTATTCCTTAGGGGTTGAAGGACTCGCGTTGGACTTGAACTTGCTGACAGTGTCCTCCACTGCTGCAAATGAGATCTTTGTTTTAAACTCAGAGTTGATGATATAAGGAAGGAGACTGCCTTGTACTTCAGTCTGAATGAGTCTAGTGTTGTCTCAACCCAGTAAATCCCGAGAAGCAACGTATTTAGAAGGAAACATCTGCCATAAAATGTTCCATGGTGGAAAGCTGCAGGTGCCTGTGCGTTGCTTTCCAAGATGGTTGCAAGGGCAAGAAAGACTTTCCAGTGAGGGTTCTGCTGCATTCGGTAATATTTTTCTTCCAATCCCTCTCATACGTCCATCTTCGGAGAGGGTGCTTTTGTCTTGTTGGCCCCAAATGGCAGGATTCAGATGCAGCTTCAGGACCAGATGTCCTGCTGAAACTGCTGGCAACACCGAGGTCTCGGGCTCCTTTTTGGAACCTGTCAGGGTCTCTCATCATCCACCCATCGTGCAGCAGCAAGTGTAATAGTGTTAAAAATTGCCCTGTGCATTTTCAGCTAGACCCTTTTCCCCAGAGCCTTCAGGAACGACCCATCCTCTTCAATAGGATCACACTACATGCACATCTCTTGATGTCTTAAGCAAATCATGGGGGTTGGGATCGATAACTCCCATCTTTACATGCACAAAGAATTCTGCAGCGTTGCAGCCATGCACATTGCTGCTTGCTGTTTTGTGTAATGGGCTGGTCACCTATTGGGCAAAGATTCTTTCCTTCCCTCGCACAGACACTTGGCATTGGGAAATTGCCCCAAGCAAAGACTGTTTGTGGATGAATAAAACCGACACCGAAGAACATTTGTTGGGGAGAGGGCGCCTTCTCAAGGCCTCTGATAGAGCAGACGAGGAGCCAGTCCCACTGGGATGTGTGCTGCTTTAACCTGGCTTCATGCCCGATGGACTTGGCCATGGATTCTCACCCACTTAGGATGAGTTCACATGCACCATCTTCGGGGAAATGTTTTGTGCTGCCTGTTTGCTGTCACTACTGCTGAAGTGAGAAGTCTTCAAAGGGGGTAGAAGAACACTGAGTTATACCAAATTTAGCTGGCAAAATTCACCACCAGTCATTTTCAGGATGGCAAAAACTAGAAAGGCTTTGGACAATTCAAAAAAGGCAGTTCCGTGTGTTGTTGTTTAGTCCTTTTGTCGTGTCTGACTCTTCATGACCCCCATGGGCCAGAACATACCAGTCCCTCCTGTCTTCCACTGCCTCCTGGAGTTGGGGCAAACTCATGTTGGTAGCTTCGCTGACACTGTCCATCCATCTCGTCCTCTGTCTTCCCCTTCTCTTGCCCTCACACTTTCCCAACATGAGGGTCTTTTCCAGGGAGTCTTCTCTTCTCATGAGATGGCCAAAGTATTGGAGCGTCAGCTTCAGGATCTGTCCTTCCAGGGAGCACTCAGTGTTGATTTCCTTCAGAATGGATAGGTTTGTTCTCCTTGCAGTCCAGGGGACTCTCAAGAGTCTCCTCCAGCACCACAATTCAAAAGCATCCATTCTTTGGCGGTCAGCCTTCTTTATGTTCCAGGTAGTGTCCAACAAAATGCTGGTGTGGTTCAAGATAAATCTTGTCAGGCCTCAATGAACAGTGAGTGCCTAGGAAAGAGTTTTTGGAGTGGCTGCTTGAAAGTGCAACATGTGCATGTGAGGGCAGTAAAGAAGGCAGCATTTTGTGCAAGACGGTAACTAGGAAATGGAGAGAAAATAAAATAGCCTGCATAATAGTGGGTTGTAACTGCAATGGAGAGAGTTGTTTAGTCGTTAAGTTGTGTCTGACTCTTCGTGACCCAATGGACCAGAGCACACCAGGCCCTCCTGTCTTCCACTGCCTCCCGGAGTTGGGTCAAATTCATGTTGGTCGCTTCAGTGACAAATAAGAGAGAGTACAGTGGTGCCTTGCTTGATGATGATAACCCATTCCGTTCAAATCGCTGTTAAGCGAAATCGTCAAGCGAAAGTAAAAAAAAACCAATTGAAATGCATTGAAAACCAGTCAATGTGTTCAAATGGGCGAAATACCTCATCGTGCAGCAAAGATCCTCCATAGGCATGCCATTTTCTGATGCCTGTAAAGCGAAGAATCCATCCTGAACACAGTGGGGAAACATTTTGCACAGGGGATCCATTTTGAAAACCCGACAATCAGCTGTTTTTGTTTGCTAAGCGAAAAATCGGTTCCCGAAGCAGGGAACTGATAGTCGCCAAGCGGATTTTCCCATTTAAACATTGTAAAGCGGATTCGTTGTGGAGCGGGGTAATCATCAAGCGGGGCACCACTGTACATATGTGCTAAATCCCTTGTTGTTCTGGACTTTGGTGGCCTGGATCCTACGAGACACCTGAAAAGAATTCAGAAGCTCTGTACGATGTCTTGCCTGTCATCTAGAGCAAAACCCAAAGAGCTAATTTCCCCTCTATGATTTGTATAAGATATCTCTAGGGTCCCAGCAACACATTCACAAATGCACATACAGCAAGCACAGAAGGACCGTCCAGTTGTTGAGAAAAATGCCGCCTGGCAGATTTCTGTCATGACAATTTTTGGGACATTCGTTTATAATTTTTCTGCACTATGTTTGAAGAAGTTTATTTATAAAATAGTGGAATTGTGGGAGGAGCCTCTAAGGCCATCGAGTCCAACCTCCTGCTCAAGGCAGGAATCCAAATCTAAATTTCTCTTGAATGCCTCGATTTTTGGAGCGCTCACCACCTCCTGTGGCCATTGGTTCCACTGTCGTACTGCTCTAACAATTGGGAGGTTTTTCCTGATATTCAACTGAATGCTGACTTCCTGTCACTTGAGCCCATTATTAGATGTCCTGCACTCAGGGAGGATCAAGAACAAATCCTGACCCTCCTCTGTAGAACAGCTTTATCATATCACCCCTATGTCTTCTTTTCTCAAGGCTAAACATGGCCAGTTCCTCCGTTCTTCCCTCCTAGGGCTTGGTTTTCAATCCCCTAATCATCCTCATTGCCCTCCTCTGAATTTGCTTCCAGTTTGTTGACATCCTTCTTAAAAGGTGGTGTCCAGAACCGGACGCAGAACTCAAGATGAAGCCTAACCAGTGCCAAATAGAGGGGAAGTAACTCATGGGATCTGGAAACTATACTTCTGTTAATGCAGCTTGAAATAGCATTTGCCTTTTTTGTAGCCACATCACACTGTTGGCTCATATTCAGCTTTTCATCTACAACAACTCACAGAAGCTTGCTCTGAAAGTTTGATTTTTAGTGGTCCAAATAAAGGTGTCATCTCTTCTATATTTGTGTTCTGTAAAGGACCACACAACTCTCTCTCTCGCGCTCTCTTTTTAAACTTTTGAGGATACCTAGAAAAGCTACCCCAACACCACTGAGGATCCTACATGGACTCATCATGGACTTTAGATGTCAGTCAAGCTCGACTGCAGCCAAGAATAACATCTACTTGTGAAACTCACCAGGTGACATAATAATTTGAAATTAATTTGGCTTTGGCACTTTAATACCTGGCAACAAAAATTTATCTCGCCTTAGGCTGGGGACAGTTAAGTGTCTGCGTAACCTTTCTTTCCCCCCTCTGCCTCCCTAGCCAAATAGGAAATATGATTTCCAAAATTGCCAATGTAGTGGGGAGGATTTTTCTGCATTATACTTGAAGAATGGAATTTATTCACAAAAGCTTGCAGTGACTGCTTAATTTTCAGTAATCTAAATAAAGTTATCATTTCTACTTTTGTGTGGTGTAAAGGAGCACAACTCTCTCTGTTGTTATGTTTTGGAACCATCTAGTGAGTGCTTTCAATTCTTAAATAAAGCAGCAATCATCCTAATTTTGAGCACTGCACACTTCTGCTATTTAGTTGAGGGAGAAGCCTTAGGAAGACACATGGCTGAGGTTACAAAAAGGTGACACCTCTGTACTGTGCAAAGAGCAGACCAAGGTTTTCTTTATTTTCATAATACCAGAACCCATTAATTCTCAGAGTAAAACATCATGATAGGCTTCTGAGTGACAAATACAGAGCCAGATTCTTGCCTCTCTATACCAGTAGCAATCTGTTGGGCTACCTAAATCTCCCGGCTTGTGCCTGAACGAGGCTAGACCTCCATGGTTTTGGAAGAAAACGAACAACAGTGAAATCGGAGAAAGGCTGCAGTACTGTAAATTATCCCCCACCCCTCCGCTTCTTATCAGAACAGGGATTGGCAGCTTGTGGGCATCAAGGTATTTTTGGACTGCAGCTTCCCTCAGCTCTAGCTAGCAGTGCTGGTGGTTGAGAGATGATGGCGTTTTTAGTCCCAGCAACACTTGGGAGTTCAATGTACTGTACTTGCAAAGGCTTTCACGGCCAGATCTGATGGTTGTTGTGGGTTTTTCAGGCTCTTTGACCGTGTTCTGAAGGTTGTTCTTCCTAACGTTTTGCAGTCTCTGTGGTCGGCATCTTCAGAGGACAGGAGTCAGAACCCTGCCTGTGTTCTGTCCGTCTGAAGATGCCGACCACAGAGATGGGCAAAACGTTCACAACAAAGAGCCAAAGAGCCCAGAAAACCCACAACAACCATCGCTGGGAGCTCCCTTCATATGAGAGCCTCCACAAGGGGTGTTTGTCCAATACGTCTAAGAAAGATAAAGAGGCATACATTGAGTGGCTGAATGAATTTTGATACCCATTTCAGAACTGACTGCCATTATAATATCACAAAAACCTAGAATCTTTTTTAAAGATATGTCATCCATAACATTTACAAGATTAGGGGAGAAGCAAAATCTGGCAAGAAGCAATGGCCCTTTGGGAAGGGAGCTTCAGATTTCTTGGACTACAGATCCCATCATTTTCCATCCTGGGAGTAGTACCTGATAAAGACGCCTTACAGGCACATACGTTTCTCTCACCTGGGAGAAAAGGCATCGACTGGGAGGCCTTCATGCTGCGCAAAGGACGAGCCACTCAAGCTTCCTGTCGCTGCCCCGGTGCTTAACTAAGAGCTTCAAAAGGCTGGCGGTGTTGTGAAACCCCCCCACACACACACACACACTTAGACGTAAGCCCTCCCTGAACCCCACAGCACACTTTGCTTTTCATTATTATTTTAAATCTGCCCCACCTGGCCTTGGATCACATTTGTTAATGTATTCTGAACGTATGTACAGTTTGCTTTGCCCTTTGAGCCTGTCCTGGCTAAACAGAGGGGTCCAATGCAACTTAGGTTTAGGATCGGGCGTCCCGGATGCCAAACAATTCCCATGGCCCATAGACTGTACGGTCCTTGCGTCCACTCAGCCCTGCCTCGGTGCCAGGAGGTGGCTTTCCCTTTAAGAACTGTGTGCCTGTCACTGAAGCCTGCCTCTCTCTGGCTTAGGAGCAGGAGAGAGAGAGACCAGCTTGAGCTGCAGGGAGGAAAGAGCGTTTCAGAGGCCGGGAGGAAGAGTAAGAGGAGGAGGAGGAGGAGGAGGAGGGAGACAAACCCTCGGGACCCTCCCAGAATGTTGCGGGTTTTCATTCTCCATGCACAGAACGTCCAGACTCCGGACAGTGATATCAGCGATGCTTATTGCTCTGTGGTCTTTGAAGGTAAGAGGCGTGGTAGCATGAGTTTGCAACTTATGGGACCCGGGCACAGAAGAGCACAAGACCCCAGAAGGTGTCACCCCTGTTTTGTGTGTGTGTGTGCGGAGAGCAATGACACGCCCTTAGATAAGACCATTCTCTGCTGCTATGAGCACATTTCCAAATGGCAGACCAGGTTCCACAGGGGGGCTCCCCCACCCGCAAATACCCATAGAAGTGTGTCTTGTCCTCTGTTCAAGTCATTGCCCCCAAGACCCACCTGCTGATCGGCCAGAGGGCCACCGGGCGCCTGGTCTCCAGTCCATCCTGTCGTGGAAGGAGTGGCCCGAAATGTCTCCCATCGCGAGGGGAATTGGCAGGCTGTAGCCTAAACATGCGGATCCACCTTGTTCTGAGAGGGGCTCTAGATCGCCCGGGTGCCGATCGGTCAAACTCTGCAGGACCAGGAGAAGATGGGCCTTCCAGGTCCCAACCCTGCCCTGCAAGCCCAAACCGTCCGTGCTCTTCCCGAGGGCTGCATGGAAGGGAAACCTCCACCGGGTCTTGTGTGTGAGGATGGGCCGGGCCAGCCGGCAAACAGGCACAGGCCAGGCCAGGGCTTTGGCTTTGGGGCTGGTCTTCGGTGGAAGCCTAACCCTTTGAAACCAAGGCGACGGAACAGGGAGACCTCCTGACGGGTTTGGTTTTCACCCTGTCTGATCCCCCTGCATTCTGGAGCTAAAGATGGCACGTGCAGGGGGAATCCCTCCAGAGGGGGGCGGGTCATTCTTCCCACCTCTCCGCTTCCCTTGCCTTTGCGTTGTGTTCGCATTTCGGTGTTTTTGCCTCAGTGGTCACAGATTTGTCTAAATGGAACAAAAGACAAGCCCTGGATCGATGGCGGTGTGGCTGACAGTGTTCTCAGCAGCTAAGATAAGCAGGAAAAGAGTCACAGAAAGGAGATTTGTCTAAATGGAACAAAAAACAAGCCCTGGATCGATGCCGGTGTGGCTGACAGTGTCTCAGCAGCTAAGATAAGCAGGAAAAGAATGAGGCATTGAGGGGGTGACCATCTCGTTTGGATTATTTGCATCGTCTGCCTGCCTTAATGTCATTATAAAAGTGTTTTTATATGCACGGCCTGCTGAAAGAGTGTGCAAAAGGGACACCAAAGGAAACTTGGCTTCAGTTGGCGTGGGGGTGGGGGGTTGCCCGTTGGAAACCAAAGTCTCTTTCTGCAGAAAGGTGTCGTGCAAGGCATGGGGGTGTATGGGTGGGAGTGGAATGAAGCCCCTTGGCTGCCAGATCTGTGAAGGTCAAGGAACAGATACGTATATATACCATTTGGGAGAAACTGGAGTTTTTTGTCAATTCAGTTTTTGGGCCAGGACTACATAGAGATGAGCATGAACTGCTGGTGCTGATTCATGGATCAGCCAAACCAGATGATTGGCGCTTCCCAGCCCTGCCTTCTCTGACAGGCCCCCGCTCAGAGTGGGTGCCCGTCGGAGGAAGTGGGGCTGGGAAGCACCAAAAACCTCCCTGTTCAGCCACTGATCAACGAACCGGCCGGAATTGGCTGTTTGTGCCCCTCTTCAGTCGGGGCATCAATGGTTGAGGCCTCCGCCGTGCAAGGCAAGGGAGTCGCGTCCTGGGTTGTGGCTCAACAGGCATCTGGAAGGAGGTGTCCAGTCTGAAGCCCCAATGGGGGGCAGGAGACCAAGGGTGGAGCTCCCCCAGGATCGCTATCCAGGTGCAAAACAGCCAACCTTTTTTCCCCTTTTGAATGCCCCAAACTTCCCAACCCAAAAGAAAGTCACAAGAGAGTGTGGAACCCCATTAGGATTTGGGCCATTCACGATCTAGGCAAGAGCCAAGGATGAACCGTGGGAGATGTTGGGAAGCAGGGAGGCTTGGAGAAGAGTTTGCACCCACTCCCCCTTAGGAAGAGAACCTTCCTGTGGATTTTCATGGAGAGGGCTTACTCTCTCTCTCTCTCTCTCTCTCCGGAGAGGGCTTACTCTGTGTGTGTGTGTGTGTGTGTGTGTGTGAGAGAGAGAGAGAGAGAGAGAAGTTGGGAGACCTTGCTTCATGGAAGGCCTCTTGATGGATTCCAAGTCATGTCGGAGGCCTCTTTGCTCTCTACAGCTCTAGGATTCAGAGGAGAGAGTCTGCCGTGAGGACTCTCTTCTTTCTCGTGGATCGCAGCTTCCTCAGAATGGAAGTGACCCTGATTTCCTGAATCCGTGGTTTGGGGGCTGGGGCGGCAGACGACACAGGGGAAGCAGCCACAGCAGCAGCTGGGAGACACGGATCGCCTTTCCCATTTGCCACACTCTATTTATAGGAAGGAAAAAAAACCCTCCTTGTCATTGGGCCGCATCTTGGCTGACAACCTCAGCACCTGTTGTGGGCCGGAGGGCCAGGGCAGCTTCTTGCTGGCATTCACACCACTGGGGCCGTGGGCCAGGGAAGTGCCAGGCCCCCGGAGGGCACAGGGAGCATGAACAAACGCCCCTTGTCCCTAGTGGTGGCGCCATGGCTCGGCAGAGGAGGCCTGGGACGTGTTTGGTCCAGGCTCGTGCAAGGAGGCCACAGGAAAGCTGGGATTAGGGTGGCCACGTAACACGTCACCAAGTGGAAGGGCCAAAAGTGGACTCTGAATAGTCCATGTGCATCGATGCAAGATCTGAACTTATTTTTGCCATTTAAACAGAACGACAACAGAGATCACCGGATGGGAAAAGGGAGTGACTCTGTTCACAGAGCTGTTGTGCTCCCCCTTTTGTTATTCTTCCGAGGCAGGTTGTGTCATCACCCTGTCTGCTCACCTTCAAGGCCATCATTCTCCCTCCTGTTCCTTTTAACCTGCCATCCCGAGGGTCCCCAAAAATCTTGGTCTTCAAGGCGGTGGGTTGGCCAAACGTGATGGAGGAGCCCCCTGCTTTCCTTTGCTTGAGGAATCAAATGTGCTCTCGTGATGCCTCGGTCTCAGCCTTTGATGTCTTTGGCCCTCAAAGGGGAAAGGGGTCTCTCCCCACAGCTACAAAGAGGCCAAGGGTTCAGGGGAATTCTCCTTCCCACCCCCGCCCGGTCCGCTGGGAGAACAGACTCCTCTCCGCTCTTCTACTGAATGGTGGAAAGGCTTGTTTTCCTTCTAGGCCAAATCTTTAGAGACGTCCTTTACAGCAGTGGCCCCCAACCTTGGGCCTCCAGATGTTCTTGGACTACAACTCCCAGAAGCCTTCACCACCACCTCTGCTGACCAGGATTTCTGGGAGTTGAAGTCCAAGAACCTCTGGAGGCCCAAGGTTGGGGACCACTGCTTTACAGGATTGGGCGGGCTTTGAGAATGTTGTCCAGACAAACCCTAAACAGCTTCGTCAGAGGTAAAGCATTATTTATTTATTTTGCTTTCCTTTTTCAAAAAATATTCCCAAAAAAAGAATAGGGAGAATGGTGGGGAGCCTTTGATGGGTGGAGGAAGTCTAAAAGGCAAGCTGGGGGTGGTGGTGGTGGTCCCTGCCATGAGCCTGATTTAGTTATGGCCAAACGGACACAGACACTCGTGACACAGTAACCTACTTCCATATTTGGCCGGCATGAGCTTTTATGGCCTTCAACATACGGTTTTGTGACAACAGCGTTTGCTTGCCTTTAGAGTGTGGTGGTGGTCCTTGGCATGAGCCTGATTTAGTTATGGCCAAGCGGACACAGACGCTCGTGACACAGTAACCTACTTCCATGTTTGGCCGGCATGAGCTTTTATGGCCTTTAGAGTGCCACCAAGGCTCGGGGGGGGGGTCTTCCTGAATCTCTACCTCTGCCCCAAAGTGGAACCGTGGCCGTTCTGCGATCAACAAAATGTGCATCGAAAACAGTGCGTCATCTAGTGGGCAAATGTCCCACACAGCTTTTCCCTTGGCGGACCAAGTCGCATCCTCTGTGGGCACAGAGAGGATGACAGCTGAGCAGAGAGTCCCTCCTCATGAGGACATGAATCCTGCCTGGGTCTCCTTCTTGTTAACTCCAGCTGGAGAGAATGGAGAAGGAAACAGGAAAGGAGAAATTCTGGAGGAGGAAAGAAAAATGGCTCTGGTTTCATTGGATGTCAGCTGGAGCTCCAATGGGTGCAGCTGGGTTTCTGGAAAAAAAAAAATTTAAGTTGAGCTTTTTGTGTTGTTGTTGGGGTAAGGATCCCCTTTTCCACCAAGGGAAGAGGGCTGTACACACTGGAAGAAGTGAACTGACCAAGAAAGGCTGGAATGGATGAACGGATCCATGTGTACCTCTGGCTGCCATGAGCAGCCAGCTGAGGCATGATGGGAGTTGTAGGCTACCATACTCCAGAGTCCCAGGCTATGGAGAGGGTCTGGTGTAGAGTCTCTTCCCCTCCCCATCTCACAGGCCCCATCTGGAACACATTGGTCTTGAGTCTCTGAGGAGTGGAAACCCACCGTTAGGAGCTGCGAGATATCTGGTGATCAAGGAGTGCTTGCTTCTCAGCCTGCAGTCCTAGCTCCATGTTTAGGCAGGAGTAAGCCCCACTGAAATCGAGGGGACGCACTTCTGAGGGTTATGTGATCCGTGACTACGGATGTTTTCCTGGAAAGGGAACTTAAGTCAAAAGATGAATCGGGGACCCTCATTCTGAGAGCAGCTGAAAGGCAAGGAGACACAGACTGTTTTTAATGTTTGAAAAGGAAGAAAAAGATGAGCCGACTTAAGCGATGGGTTGATTTGCATTCATTTCCAGAAGTAGATTTGCAATGTCTAGATTATTGCCCATATTTTTAAAATGTGTGTGTGTGTCAGGAAATGCAGCCCTGGGAGAAGTGGTGGTGGCATCTGGCATCTAGAGGCCTTTGAAAGGAGATGAGACAGTTCCCTGGAGGAAAAGTCCATCGCAGGTGACCAGCCATGATGGGGAGGTATCGTCTCCAGGCTTTGAAGGAAGGGACCTCCAAAGGGCAGAGGCAGGGGAAGAGGGGGATCAAGAGACAGGTCTCTTGTTGTCTTGTGGT